CAACCCAGGAGCAGCCAAGGACCAAGAAAGGACCAGCCAAATACAAACCAAGGAAAAGCCTTGGTCCAGCCATGCACCAGCCAAGGACCAACCAAGGACCAGACAAGGAGCAGCCAAGGGCAAGCTAATGACCAACCAAGGAAAAACCAAGGACCAGCCAAATACCATCCAAGGAAAAGCAAGGACCAGCAATGGACTACCCATGGACAAACCAAGGAGCAGCCAAGACAAGCCAAGGACCAGCCAAGACCAGCCAAGGACTAGCCATGGAGCAACCAAGGATCAATCAAGGAGCAACCAAGGATCAATCAAGGGGCAGCCAAGGACAAATCAAAAGGCAGCCAAGTGCTTGCTAAGGACCAACCAAGGAGCAGCCAAGGACCAACCAAGGAAAAGCAAGGACCAGCCATGGGCAAGCTAAGGACCAGCCAAGGATCAACCAATGATCATCTGAGGAAAATCTTAGGACCATCCATGGACTAGCCAAGGACCTGCCATGCACTAGCCAAGGTCCAACCAACGACCAGCCAAGGACCAACTAAGGAACAGCCCAGGACCGGCTGTGGACCAAACAAGGACCAATCAAGAAGCAGCCAAAGGCAAGCTAAGGACCAACCAAGGAAAAATGAAGGACCAGCCAAGGACTACCCATGGACAAACCAAGGACCAGCAAAGGACAAACAAAGGACCATCCATGGACTAGCCAAGGACCAACCAACATCCAGCCAAGGACCAGCCCAGGACCGGCCGTGGACCAAACAAGGACCAATCAAGAAGCAGCCAAGGGCAAGCTAAGGACCAACCAAGGAAAAACTAAGGACCAGCCAAGGACCATCCAAGGAAAAGCAAGGACCAGCAAAGGACAAACAAAGGACCATCCAAGGACTAGCCATGGAGCAACCAAGGATCAATGAAGGAGCAGCCAAGGACCAATCAAGAGGCAGCCAATTGCTTGCTAAGGACCAACCAAGGAGCAGCCAAGGACCAACCAAGGAAAAGCAAGGACCAGTCATGGTCAAGCTAAGGACCAGCCAAGGAGCAACCAATGACCATCTGAGGAAAATCCTAGGACCATCCATGGACTAGCCAAGGACCAACCAACATCCAGCCAAGGACCAGCCCAGGACCGGCCGTGGACCAAACAAGGACCAATCAAGAAGCAGCCAAGGGCAAGCTAAGGACCAACCAAGGAAAAACGAAGGACCAGCCATGGACCATCCAAGGAAAAGCAAGGACCAGCCAAGGACAAAGAAAGGACCAGCCCAGGACCGGCCGTGGACCAAACAAGGACCAATCAAGAAGCAGCCAAAGGCAAGCTAAGGACCAACCAAGGAAAAACGAAGGACCAGCCAAGGACCATCCAAGGAAAAGCAAGGACCAGCCATGGACTACCCATGGACAAACCAAGGAGCAGCCAAGGACTAACAAAGGACCAGCCAATGACTAGCCATGGAGCAACCAAGGATCAATGAAGGAGCAGCCAAGAACCAATCAAGAGGCAGCCAAGTGCTTGCTACGGACCAACCAAGGTAAAGCAAGGACCAGCCATGGGTAAGCTAAGGACCAGCCAAGGAGCAGCCAAGGACCAACCAAGGAAAAGCAAGGACCAGTCATGGGCAAGCTAAGGACCAGCCAAGGAGCAACCAATGACCATCTGAGGAAAATCCTAGGACCATCCATGGACTAGCCAAGGACCAGCCCAGGACCGGCTGTGGACCAAACAAGGACCAATCAAGAAGCAGCCAAGGGCAAGCTAAGGACATACCATGGAAAAACGAAGGACCAGCCAAGGACCATCCAAGGAAAAGCAAGGACCAGCCAAGGACAAACAAAGGACCAGCCAAGGACCTGCCCAGGACCAACCAAGGTTCAATCAAGAAGCAGCCAAGGACCACTCGAGGAGCAGCCAAGGACAACTCAAGGAGCAGCCAAATGCCTGCTAAGGCCCAACTAAGGACCAGCCAAGGACCAATCAAGGACCAACCAAGACCAGCCAAATAACAACCAAGGAAAAAAGGCTAGGACCAGCCAGTGACCAACCAAGGACCTGCCAAGGACCAACCAAGAACCAGCAAAGGAAACCAGCCAAGGGCGAGCAAGAGACCAACCAAGGGCGAGCAAGAGACCAACCAAGGACCAGCTAAGGACCAACCAAGCACGAACCAAGGATCAGCCAGGGACCAGCCAAGGACCAGCCAAGGACCAACCAAGGACCGGCTGTGGACCAGCCAAGGACGAGCCAGGGACCAACCAAGGACCAGCTAAGGACAAGCTAGGGACCAACCAAGGCCGAACCAAGTGTCAGCCAAGGATCACCCAGGGACTAGCTGAGGATAAACCAATGACCAACCAAGGACCAGCCAAGGGTCAACCAAGGACTAACCAAGGACCAATCAAGGAGCAGCCAGGGGCCAACCAAGCGCAAACCAAGGACCAGCCATGGACCAACCACAGCAAATGTCTTTTTCATTTTAATTAAGTAAAAGGATCAGCAGTGTTAAAGAGGAAAATGCAAAAGGATGATTGATTACTAATTTCATTAATGAGTCAAGTAATGCAGCCACATTCTTAAAATGTACAAGGATTTTACATTTCAAATTGAATTTTGGTATGTATTTGCTGGGGTACATTTTGAAAATAAATCTCAAATGTCTTTTTTTCCCCTCATTTTAATGAAGTAAAAGGATGAGCAGTCTTGAAGAAGAATATTAAAATTAAAATCGGATGATTGATTACTAATTTTATTTGTGAGTCAAGTAATGCAGCCACATTCTTAAAATGAAAAAGGATATCTGGAAACGCTTGTGAAATTTATTTTTTAAAATGTACAACAGCAAATACATACCAAAATTCAATTTGAAATGTAAAATTTGAAAATGACAAAAGAATTTCTGTAAATGCCTTTTCATTTGAAGTATGGTAACGATTTGCTTCCATAGTTTCCTACTGCAGGGATTAAAGCAAAATAAAATCTTGAACTTATCCAACCGCAGGCAAGAAACACACACACACACAAACACACACACACACACACACACATATATATATATATATATATATATATATATATATATATATATATATATATATATATAATTGAACACTAAATTTGACGTTTGAAAATCAAATACCAAAAACGTCCAGAAGATGGCAACAGTACATATAATATAACATTCTATATCTACCACTTGGATGATCTTCATTTCTTTGATATCCAGTTTTGCTGCTAAGTGTTCCTGAAGCACAGCATGCAGAAGCAAGCCCTGGTTGACCTAACTTCCTGCACCAGCTGCTAAATTTTTCGCCATCTCGCCGTCTCCTCCTTCCATGCCCAGTGCCATTTATTTTTCAGGCCCTTATCTATGGTGGTCACATCTTCCCCGGAGTTTATGACCTGCATTTTAATCATTCAATCGCAAGTTTAATTTATTTATTTTTTGACTTTTTACACGTCTCTCTGTTGAATGGACCCATAAACTGTGCAAGGTGACTTTCCATGTAGAACTTCAGCTCTGTACCACAATCTATCTGGCGACTTGAGCAAGAAACGAGAGGAGGAGGAACACGCTTTCCTAAGACCCGCCCACTTCTTCTTCTTATTGGCTAATACCTTTAGTTTCAGAGCGCTCCTTTGCTACCATTGGCTGACAAATGCAGGAGGGATTTTGATTGTCTTTTTTTATTTTTTTTTTATTTACCGTCAATTTATTTTTGATTTTTTTTATTTAACCAATCGCTATCGCTAGGAGCCGGAAATATTTTAATCCCTACTACTGAAATTAGCGTGTTGACGATCTGCATTTGGCAGAGTCTGACCCCCTGCTGGCAGTTGCGTGGCCTCTGTCCCCCTACAGCTGCTTGTCTGGTGACACCATCACGCTGGGTTAGCGTTGATGATGTCATCAGTGTGACTGAAATCAGGAAAGTAAACAATGGAGAGCAACATGGAAGGGAGCCAAGGTGTGGTAAGTATGCTTTATTCTTTCACTCTTTTGTCCCTGCCAATCTCTCTTATGAGTGCTGCTCCATGTCTACCGAACGGAAGCAGAGTTGCCTTGTTAGATCAGACACAGCTGGCGTTGTGTGTTGACGTCCGTATTTTGCGATCACGGGTATCACGTAAAATAGCAGGTCGACCTGGGTCTGATGTTCCCACTGCATGCTGATAGGAGCAGAGCTGTTTAAAGGCGATTTTAACCACCCGGGTCACTCTGTGCCCAGTCTTTTAATACAGGTTGATTCGGGTCAGTGAGCTGTTCCCACTGCCACTAAAATCTAATGTTCCTAGATTTAAAAGGGTTTTCATCCAGTGTGAAATAGTCTAGACTTTAGCACCCTTGAAAATTAAAGGCTGGGATTTAAACCCAACCTTCTTACTGAAAGGTAACCACCCCACCCCCCTCCCCACTGATACTACAATTATTAAATATAGGATATTTACAATGCATTAAGATTGTGTTGGATTAAAGATATTAAACTGATTTTTTATTTTTTTTAATTCAAACTGATTTTATCTCTAACATATAGGCCTTTTAACGGACTGCATATCTCCCCTTATATTTATTTATAAATCCGACTAACAATAACTCAAGTCTTTAGATTTTGTTATGTAATCTATTGCAAGATCAGTTCAATGTAACGAGTGACAAAAGAAAACAAAAATCTTCCGTTTATGACCCAACTTTACAAACAACATCAGTACTTTTGACTTTTTTTCCAACCTTATTATAATATCCTTTGCAATATAGACAAATGGAAACATAGATTTGTTATACACTGATTTGTTAGAACAATCGGCAAGAATTTGTGCAAAACAAAATAGCTACTTATAACAAAACATTGGAAATTTAAAGCATATTTTTACTTTTCTACACAGAGCAGAAAAGCAAAGCTTTGTCTCTTATATATAATGAACACTCGAAGGAGGACTGATTATAATAACCTTAAACTTGGGGATATAACATATAATGAAGACGATTACGCAAAAACAAAAGGCGTATTTCCGTTTTTTCCAACAGACCTTGAAGGCAGCATGACGTCTAATCTGCGCGACTCACATGTGAGAGCAGTGCGGAGCAGTGATGGCCGCGGAGAGGCTTCAGTTTCATGAAATGGGATTAGACGACCGCCTTTTAAAGGTAAAATACTTTAAAAGATATCAAGAAAGTTTAATTTAGCTGTTGGTGAAACGTTCGGTTTTCAGCTGAAGCCTTTGGAAACCAAGAATCGGTTTAAAAAAAAGATGGAAACTGAGGGGAGCCTCATCCCTGCGTAGCAGCTGCTGCTGCATCCCGTGTTGATTTAAAACGTGTTGAACTAAAATAACATTAAAACAGAAAAATAATGGGATTATATCACTTGTTAATTTCCTTTTAATGTTAAACATCCTAAAGGAGTGCGAGGCGTTAATGTCTTGAAGGGGATGATGTTGAAATCATTGTTGTGTTTTGGTTTACACGTTTTAGATTTTTTATTTTGTCTGAATAATGTTTAATTTCATGGAAAATGCTGCTTATTGAAATACTGGATGGCAGTCAGATGTTAGATTTGGGTTCAGTTGTTTTTTTATTAGTTCTTTTTCTCTTTCTTTAAAATAATCAGCGGAAAGCTCCTTACTATGGAGTGAAATGTGGTCCGTTATTGTAGCAGCAAGCAAAGAACACATTTAATAAATTAAAATAATCAAAAACATGCAAACCAGTTATTAAACTTTGAAAAAGTTTTCAATAAAGACGCGTTTCGAGGATTACTTTTTTTTTTTTTTTTACATTTTATATATTCACATTTTTTTTCCCCTTTTTTATATATTTAGTTTTCTTGTTTTTTTTTTATTTCAGTTTTCAGCTTGACTTTTATGGATAGCATTTTTTTTAAATTGTGTTTTATAGATCACATTCTCTTCATATAAATATAAAAGTATAAACATATGTTTAGGTTTATATTTTAATTACACCTTTATGCCTTTTGAAGTTAATTTAAAATATGAAATTAAAGATATTATATAAATGAAAGATTTTTTTATATTCCAAATCTTGGCTAAAAAATGCTATTTTGTTAAGAAGTATCTTTTTAGATAAATAATTTTGAAGGTCTTTATATTAACCAAACCATCAATTTAAAGTGTATAGGATATATATATTTTCTAGGGATGTTGAGATGAAGGAATTGAACCGTTTGACCCAATTGCTTCAATGATCCCCACAGTTCATGAAGCCTCGTGAACATTAACATTGTTAATGATTGGTCTGTATAACAAAATCTTTTATAAGATTTTTATGTGTAAAATGTCTTAGAAGAGAATAATCACAGTTTTTCTGCCATTTTAGTGAAAAAAGTGCTTGTGTAAATTGGGCTTCGACTAAAAAAATGAAAGGTGTTAGACAATTTTATTCCAACATAATACTTTCTCCACAGTTTTTGGTTGGAAGTTATGTGTTCAGAGCCAATCTAACTTTGGCAGTGTTTTTGTACTAGGGCAAACCAATAAAAATTAGTCACATTAGCCAAAAAAGTTTTATCGTAACTTTCTAAAGTGGGTTTTGAATCATCACCCTCAAGAGTGAAAGTCCATGTCTTACAGCTGACGGCACTAGCAAAATGACAATGATCACGAAAGCAATACTAAATAAAACTCGTTACATCCGTGACCAGTGGCTTGCTTAGATTTTGATCATTACATTGTTTAATCTAACCAACTAGATCTGTTGTTTTCCGACCAATCTATTCTTAGAATCTATTCTTACTCTATCCAACTGACAGCAACTCTCCAACAAACTCCCACATCTTGACTGAATACTAAGGCTAATTAAATGCCCGCCAAAGTACCGTGCGGGCTGAACCACTTCCCAAAGCGGTCACGTTGTATGGCGGGGTAGCGAGGCTTCGGTCGTCATCATTTTGGCTCCTCCCACAAATGAAGCAAGCCTCGATACACGCCTTGCGGAAACGCCCCCTCCAGGACTCGACACACGCCTCGAAGCCTCTGTTTATCTCATAACATCACTAATATTTCCCTTTTATAGATAACCGACACATCAAATAAACATGAAAAAAAGTTCCTGAAATTCATTAAAAGAGAAAAAAAAAAAAACATGCAAAAAAAAACCCAACAACTTTAGGTTAATGGAAAAATTGATGGGCTGCTCAGTGGAGCAAGAAGGTTTGGTTCCCGGCCCGGGTCTTTCTGCATGGAGTTTACATGCTCTCCCTGAGCATGCGTGGGTTCTCTGCGGGTACTCCGGCTTCCTCCCACAGTGCAAAACATGACTGTGAGGTTAATTGGTTTCTCTAAATTCTCCTTAGTGTGAGCGCGAATGGTTGTTTGTCCTGTTAGTCTCTGTGTTGCCCTGCGATGGACTGGCGACCTGTCAAGGATGGACCCCGCCTCTCGCCACTAGACAGCTGGAAATCAGCACCAGTACCCCTCATGACCCCAGCAGGGATAAGGGTGATGGAAAATGGATGGATAATTTGATGGGCTGATCGATAACTTAAGATAAATAGATAAAGCTTTACTAACAATAAGAGGTTTGATGAAGCAAACTGCGACAAAAAAACAACAACCTATAAAGCAGTATTTGTTGGTGTTTTCAGATTTGTTTTCTCCTTTTTTTCCTCAATTTATCGTGTTATTTAGCTGACAGGAGAGGTCAAAGTACATTAGTTTAATCATAGGAAGCGCTATATGTGGCTGGATTACATATTCATGGCCTTTTATCTGAGTGATTTTCCACACATACCTGCTCTTTACTTCCTGTCCTTGTCTGGGCTCAGGCGGTGGCCGATCTGGGTTGGTCTCAGCCCACCCTCATCCAGGAGAAGGCCATTCCTCTGGCACTGGAAGGGAAGGACCTTCTGGCTCGAGCACGGACCGGATCTGGGAAGACGGCGGCGTACGCTATACCCATCATACAGCGCATCCTGGCATCCAAACAGGTGGGCAGGGATTGAAATGATCATTTATCTGATGGACATCTTCCTTTTTTCATCCTCTTAGTTCCTCAGAAAATGTTCTATTTGCATGAGCAGCTTTAATATATAATCTTATTAGGATTATATTATCAATAAATAGTCATGAACATGTTAACTTCGCAGGAATAGAATAAAAAGGCTGTATTTCCTGTTTAAAGACGTCTCCATGTTTGTTTTTTGTCCTCAGAGTGTCCGTGAGCAGGATGTTCGAGCTCTCATCCTGGTACCAACCAAAGAGCTCGGCCAGCAGGTTCAGAGCATGATAAGACAGCTGACGTCGTGCTGTTCAAGAGACGTCCGTGTGGCCGACATCTCCGGCAAAGCCGACGTATCGACGCAGAGGTGAGCTTTACAGTTCAGGAAGCATCCTTAGTCTCTGACCGGAAGATATCGGGGGTATTAGCCGGACTAATGGTTGCTTTTCTTCTCATTATCGTCCCGTTATTTTTAAAGTCGTAGGGAAGCAGCCGTACCAACCGTGTCTTCCGTATTCTCCTGAGTGGTGCACGACTTTACACGAGAGAATAAAGTGGATGTGATTTTATTATCAAGCGGAAAGAGATTGTTGTGGTGGAAGGTTCGCAAGCAAGTTTGCTTGTAGCCGGTTTATCGGAAAAGCATCTCGCTAACTAGTTAGCAACTTAGTGCTAGTAGGTTCCCAATGGGAAATTCCATTGGGACCAAGTAGCACTAAGGCTACGTTCACACTGCAGGCCTTGATGCTTAATTCCGTTTTTTTTTTTGTGAAATCCGATATTTTTTGCGTTGCCGTTCATATTTCCAAATATGTGCGACTTGTATGTGATCTCCTGTGTGAACTGCAGTCATACAATACAAGTGTCCCGCATGCGCAGTAGAGGAAGCAATGACGTCACAGGCCAGCGTGCTCTGTGTTTATGGAAGTAAACATGGATGGTAGTGCCGGCGCGCATCTAGCGGTCTTTTCCAACCATAAAAACTCAATGTTTTCAGTATGGTTAAAAATAAATACTGCTCTCTGCATCATCATCTGCCATGGTTGTTGTTTTTCTTGCCGCTTCTGCGTAGCAAGACGTCGAATAGAGACCTTTGTCGGGTATTAATGGCATTCATGAATCCGACCTGGCCGTTCAGACACAGGTCAAATTTGAAAAGATCAGATTGGTATCGCATTGGAAAAAAAAAATCGGATCTGTGTTGTTCAGACAGCCATAAAAAGATCAGATCCAGGTCCATATGGGCAAAAAAAAAATCAGATTAGGGTCACTTCAGGCTTCAGTGTGAACAGAGCCAGAGGAGGGCCAGGTGTCATCACCACTCCCGCCAACCCGGACATTGTACGGAAAACATCTGTCCAGAAATGACCAAGAGCGGGGCAGGACCAGTACATACAGAGCAGTGTGGCTACAGCAGTTTTGCATTTATCGCAGTAAGGGGAGACTCCTGGATAGAAACGAGATAGTTTATATTTGGAGAGGTGGGCTCCATGTACTATTTCAAACTGAATAAGGCTATGGCGCGTACATAGAGATGAGGTATTCACCAGTTTAAGTATAGAGTCCCATGTCTGATCCGGTATGGTCATATTCAAGTCCTCTTCCCATGAGGCTTTAAGTTTAAGTGTGGAGGTCTCTTTCATAGTACACATTTTATTATAAAGCCATGAAACCAAAATGTTGGATTATTTTGCAGCCATGCATCTTATTTATAATGTTGGATGTTTGTTCATCGGTTCCTCTGGTTCTTTATTATTAACTCCTCATGTGTTAAAATAATTCTGCTGTTTATGTCTAATTTTCTAATGGCGTGAAATCTGAACAGACCCATTCTGATGGAGAAGCCAGACGTGGTTGTGGGGACGCCGTCCCGCGTTCTCGCCCACCTCAAAGCCCAGAACCTGGTCCTCCACTCCTCCCTGGAGATGCTGGTGGTAGACGAGGCCGACCTCGTCTTCTCCTTCGGCTTCGAGTCGGATCTGAAGAACTTGTTGTGGTGAGAATTTAGGAGATGATGGTGATTCATAGTGAATAAAACTCACTGGACAACATGAAATATGATTGGTTTTCTTCAAAATAAGTTTATATTTTCCCTTTTTTATTAGACAGTTTTACATTTATGTTTAAAATTGGACAAAAAAAAACATCTTAATTTAAGGGCAACATTCATTCCATTGACAGATTATTGCAGTGGTTCCCAAAGATTTTCTTCTGGGCCCCCCTTTGGATTACAATAAAATTTCCACGCCCCCCCATCAAACAAACCCCCCCCCCAAAAAAAAAAGAATAAACTGGGCACACTGGGTTCAACCAGATATAATAAACCTATACACATATTTTGTTTTCAAACTCCCCTGAAGTTTATTTCACACTTCAGGTTGCAACAAAACAAACTACACCATCTTTACAGTGGAACACTTTTGTGTAACTGTATTTTTTTCATAGTTCTATAATGTAGATTAGAAGAGGATTATTTGTTGTCTGTGTTATTTTAAACATATTTCTTTTTTTTTACTTGTAACAATATTTAACTTTGCTATAATCTATACATTAAAAAAGCCTCTGTGCAAAATGCAGTGAAAACATTTAACAGCTCCCTGAGAGTTTTTTCTTTGTACTTTAATCCTCCCATCTTTTCAGTGGCTGTAGTGAGCCTGCTTGTTGCTGTAGATCTTCTCAAATCTGGGCTGCAGTGTCACAACTGTCCATTATGCTCAGTCAAGCAAGCGCTGTTTTTTTTGTTTTTTTTCTTCATTCATCCATACCGCTTCCCGCGCCGGGGGCGCGCCCCACACTTTGGGAACCACTGGATTATTGTATTTTATTTCTCAATAAAAGGCAAATACACTTAACTTACATTTTGATCAGTTTTGCAGCACTAGGAAGCTACAAACCAAACAGATCTAAGAAATACCAGCAGCAGGTCGACTCTGATCATTTTATTTAGAGTTAAAAACATTTAATTATGATTCAATTATTATTTTTTTTTATTCCATTAAAGGTGTGTTCTCTCCTCGCTATGTGTGTTTGTGCTTTAACTTGTTTCCGTTATTTTCTCTCAGCCATTTGCCAAAGATCTATCAGTCGTTCCTCATGTCGGCCACCTTCAACGAGGACGTCCAGGCCTTAAAGGAGCTGCTGCTTCATAACCCGGTAATCTCCCTCTTTTTATTCTTCACTCCTCCTGCAGGTTTTCCATCAACCCAAAATGAGTCCGTTCTTTTGGAAACGGACTAAAAATATCCGTGGACTGAGACATGTGTTCATCAGGTGAACAGGGCAGCTGTTTTAATTGATGAACTGTAAAAAATGGGAATAATTTTGTTGTTGGTTATTTTTTTCATTTGTATGAAGGGAATTTTTGCTCCATTATTATTGCAACAAGCAAAGAACGTGTTTTTTTTTAAATAAAAAGTTTTAAGGAAAAAAGAAGACATGAAATGAAGTTTGGGAAATTAAAAACAGTTTTTAAAGTTTTGTCAAACCTCAAACAATATTTTCTTTTATTTTTCATAAATATATATATATATATTAGGGATGGGACAATTTATGAAAACCGTCCGAACCGTTCGGTTCGACTGTCTTGGTTCGGTTCGCGTGTGTTGCGTTCGGTTCATGCGCTGCTCCTTTTTCTCATAGGCGAAGCGTTTACACTCCAGAGCAGAAGGTGGTGGTACTGCGACCAAAGCCAGCCACCAGTAGTAAACAAGAAGAAGAAGAAGAAGCAAAGCAGCGTAGCCGGGTGTAGCAGAAATAAATCAGTTGTTGTGGAGAATTGTGTGGGTATGGCGAGTGGGAAAGAACAGGAGTTGGAAGACGCGCCAGCAGCACTTTATAGGTCTGCTGTATGGGAGCGCTTTGCATTTAGAGTGACCTACGATGACGGCGGAAAGAAAGTTGTGGATAAAAGTGCAACAGTGTGCAAGCATTGTGCAACACGTTTTGTTTATACTAACAGCAACACGACCAACATGTCATGCTAACAACATATACCGAACCGAACCGAAAACTGTGACCACGAAACCGTGAACCGAACCATGGATTTTGTGAACCGTTCCATCCCTAACATATAGATATATATAGATATAGATGGTTCACTTCAACCCCGAATTACCAACGGGCAATCAGCAATCCTGTGAATACTTGGAGATCAGTGGTGGTGAGCTACATTTTCAGACAGTCATTGAAGCTCACCTTTCTAACCACAGTTCTTTGAAAATGTTTATAAAGTGTATGAGAAGAAAAGAAAGGCATCAGAAGAGGCAGATATATCCCAGAATGCTTTGCCCATAGAGCTCTCCTCGTTAGTGATTGAGGCATATAGGGGTTTGGGAGGACATTCGGACACAGTAAACTATGAGCTATGAGAACAGCAACTTTTAAACAGGGTGTGCACGAGGAGGAATGGGCTTGTTCACGCTCTCCCACATGTGGAGAGGGCGGGTCTTTTAAAAAGATTGTGAAAATCGTCCACAATACTGTGTACTGGCTTCAAGCAAAGAGACAGTTTGAAAAGAAGTTGTAAAACTCAATCTGAAAAACAAGTTTAAAAAAGGAAATGATGAAATCTCTTTAAAAAAATTAAGTTTGAAGAAATAAAATATGAAGTAACAGCAAAGTTGACCATCCTTTCTCTGGGTTTGTGTTTTCAGGTGACCCTGAAGCTCCAGGGCTCTCAGCTCCCAGACAGCAGCCAGCTGCAGCAGTACACCATCAAATGTGAGGAGGAGGACAAGTTCCTGCTGATTTACACGCTGCTGAAGCTGCAGCTGGTTCAGGGGAAAACGCTGCTGTTTGTCGGAGCCGTGGACCGGAGCTACAGGCTCAAACTGTTCCTGGAACAGTTCGCCATCCCCGCCTGCGTCCTGAACTCGGAGCTGCCGGTCCAGTCCAGGTGAGAGCCGCCGCCCCTCCTGGTTAAATGATGTGGATTCTTCCACAAGGTCCCCGACCTGAATGGCTGCCGCTTTCCGCTCCTCCTCAGGTGCCACATCATCAGCCAGTTTAACCAGGGCTTCTATGACATCATCATCGCTTCGGATGAGCAGACGTTGGTTCAACCTGCTGTGTCGTCTTCAGGGAAAGAAAAGAAGCAAAAGAGCTCAGAGAAAGGAGCCAAGTGAGTTTAATAAATAAGTGAAAACCAGTTTTACTGAATATTTCCATGAAACCAACACAGATCCAACTGAAAGTAAAAATTAAAAAAAGTAAATTAATGTTCAAAAGTGTCTGTCTGATGACCTGGGTGTGTAGCTGACCACTTTAACAAGACAAAAGTTGGTGTACGGGGGTCTGAGCAGCTCCAACAGAAATAATATTTGAAGGTAGGATGGTAATCTGGATTAACTGACTGCACTGATGAAGTTTTCAGGCTCACCTAAAAACATATAAAACTAGTTTTTACCCACTGATCACAGCAAATATAGCTGCCATTGTTACAGGTAAAGAAAGGATAGGGGAGCTCCACCCAACGCCCATCAGACCCACTTTTTCCACCGCGCAGCCAGAGCAGCAGAGATGCTTCAGCCACACGTCAGAACTAAACTTGTACTAGCATCAAAAATTAGGCAACGTGCGTTTTTGCTGCTCTTGCTGTTTGCGGTCTGAATGTAGCAGACTTAAATAGGCTGTACTGTTGAGCAGAATGAAGCACGGATGATTCACCTTCTCATTAACCACCTTTAAAGCAGCAGTTAAAGAGAAGAGAGAATGTCTAACCAAGCTTTTGATTAAACAAACCGGCAGAACAAGAAAACAAATAAATGAAAAATCCCCCAAAATCAGTAATAGGATCTGAAGTTTTTGGGTATAATTTGGGTAATAATACTATGTAGACCCACAGCTAGTTCCTGATTGTCCTCTTGCGTTGTGGCGTGGAATAACATAGTGCAGACCACGCTTCAATATTTGGCATAAATCAAAAATATCTGTTACAAACTCACTGTGACACACTGCTGCGGGAGGATAACCAGCCCTTTAGTCTGATCTCACCTCAAATGTGCAACAGACTTGTAGCGATAATGGCTGTTTCTCAGTTCACAACAACGTGCGTACGGACTCAGGTCCTCGCCAAGTATGTTCCTGAGAAGAACACAGGAAAATGTTGACTCAGTGAGAACGGGAGCATGTAGCATAAATCTGGGTCAATTAGAACAGAAGCGTACTGATGACATCACCACACGCTCTGCTCTTCTGGAGCTGCATTTCACCTCCTGTTATTAATAGTCTCTAGATGATAATAAATTCTGACTTTTGTCATGTAGTGGGGTAATAATAATGAACACAGTCAGATAAACACAAATCAAATGAACATTTTCCCAAATAAAACAAAAAAATCAGAACCAGAGGTCCTTCACACACAGCTATGCAGAGAGAGGGCTGCTGCAGACGGGCTTTGGTTAGCCCTCGCTGCTGTTGGCCTCAGAGCTCCACTGGTTGCTGTGCTCCTCTCAACTTCAGAAGTTTTTTTTCCATTTCACATTATATCAGTAAATGGGCCGTATAGTGACGCTTAAAAATATAATGTTCTCTCCTCAGATGATCTTAAAATGTACTTTTATTGAACTTTTAACTTAACACTCTGAGCTCTGTGAACACTCCATTAAAAGCTGCTGCTGCCGCAGTGCATGCTGGGACAGCTGTCAATCTCAAGAATGGACAAGTCTGCTCTGATGCATGCTGGGTAAAGAGGGAGGGACGAAAACAAAATCCGGGCACTTGTCCATTCTCTGTCTGCTGTTCTCATGAAAAGAAACAGTACTAGGGCTGAGGCTGATGACGTTTCACGAGCACATGAGAACGCACAAGTTCACTATTGAGAAACGGCCCCTGATTCCAACCAGAGATGTGTAACGGAGTAACTGGTTGGACTAATTGGTCTCAGGCTAACGGTTATCTGTCTTTATGAAGCAGAATATTCCTGGTATGAAGGGATTAAAAGGAAAAGTCTGGTCAGCTAGGAATGCTCAATGGATCATCATTTATATCTAAAACTAATACGTTCTTTGTGATTTAATGAATTTCGCAATCACGGAGTCTGGGAGCGGCCATTTTTGCCCAAATATAGAACACCTCCCTCCTGCCATCTTCGGCAGTGACGTCACGGTGCGGTAAGCCTAGCGCCATTCTCCCTGCTTTACAAGCAAAAGCACCGTGACGTCACAAACCAGTAGGTGGCAGTGGAGTTCTCTGACAAACATGGATGCCTCCAGTAAAACACATTCAGATGAAAATTACTCTGAATTAAAAATGCTTATCATTTATTGAACAGTATGTAAGAATTTTATATTTAAAGAACTTTCATAGGTTTGAATTCTGAATATAAGCAGACTTTTCGTTTATAAGTTCAGACCAATCAGGACCCAAATGTCTGATGAATGAAGCCGGCCCGTCGTTTGTTTCCTGACTGGACTGTTTTTTTTTTTTTTTCAGGGCCAAAGATAAGGAGTACGGCGTCTCCAGGGGGGTGGACTTCCAAAACGTGGCCAACGTCATCAACTTTGATTTCCCCACATCGGTGGATTCCTACATTCATCGAGTCGGAAGGTCGGTACCGTTCAGACGCGCCGCTCTCAGCTTCTTTATCCTTCGTTTGGACACTTTTTGTTTTCTGTGTGCAGAACGGCGAGAGCTGACAACCCGGGCACCGCCCTGTCCTTCGTGGCTCACACAGAGCTCAGCGCTCTGGAGGAGGTGGAGGAGTCCCTCTGTGGAGGTGAGTTCCAGTCAGGGTGGGGATCTTTCCGTCCTGCTCTGTTTTCTCTGATGTGCTGCTAACGGGAGTGTTTGTGTTCAGATAAAGCTGAGTCTGCGCTCAAACCCTACGAGTTCAGGATGGAGGAGATCGAAGGCTTCAGGTACAGGTGCAGGGTGAGTCATCAGCTGCCCTCCATGTTTTTACCGTTCAGCACGGCCACGCTCTGGAGGCTCTGACGCCGTTTGTTTCCCAGGATGCAATGCGAGCGGTGACCAAGCAGGCTGTGAGGGAGGCCAGACTGAAGGAGATCAAACAGGAGCTGCTCAACTCCGAGAAACTCAAGGTGGGAGGCGGCCGGGGCAACGTTGTCTGGGCAACATTGTGGTTGCCCAGACAACGATAATAACATCACGCAGCATCAGTCTGCAGAGTCGGGAGGATCTGTAGTGTCAGGAAGTTTTACCTAATTGATAACAAAACTGAAAACATGTTTATGGTGAACAAAGTAACCGCAAGACTACATAAAGGTAGAGCTGGGTAGCGCTGTGGCTAGCTGTGCTCAGTCGCTAACAGGTTAGCCTCTTTTAACTTGGTCAGTTTAACTTTGTGTCAAAATCAACCATTTGTTTTCTACAAGTAGAATAACTGTTATATTTGTGTAAAATCTCTATGAAAGTCATTTTTTTAAGATGTTCCTTTTTTCCTTCCTGCCCTCAGATCTTAATATAAAGAATAAAAATAAGCTGAGACTTTTTTTTTGTCACCTTGTTAAATGGCAGAGCTCAGTCTGTCTTAGAATCTACTTTTGGCTACTTTAGATCACCGATGAAATGTAAAATAATAGCAAATATAGGTAATAATATGTTGAGACTCCAAAAGAGATTTTATTCTTAAGAAACGGGTCCGATGCAGTTTGTCCGAATATGATGACGTCATAGGAAAGCAGATCTGGTACCTACACCGGTTCTGACCGGATGGCTCTTCTCTCACACAGACGTACTTTGAGGACAACCCCAGAGATCTGCAGCTGCTGAGACACGACAAAGACCTTCATCCTGCTGTCATCAAGCCTCACATGAAGAACATCCCCGACTATCTGAGTGAGAAACAAAATCATCACCACCCTAAAACCTTCTTCCTTTCCTTCCTTTAACTTCTGTGTTTTAGATCAACACTTAAATCCAACATAAGTCTTCCCAAGATGTTTCTGGTCTGAATCAGTGACTCTCTGCTTTAAATGCTTCATATCAAGTCGTAGCTGTTTAGTTGTTTTGTGCTTCTTTCACTATTAGAGATAAAAGTTTATCTTCTGTTTACAGCAGATCCTAAACTCTTTACCCATTAAGCCCAGAGGGTCTTAAGCCGGGCATAGACTGTAAGATTTTTTTGCCCTTTTCGGGCCGACTTTCCAGTCGTGCGAGAATTTTTCGATTGGGCCGACTTCCAGCCTGATGGTGTATAGTGTAGTGTACAGGGGGTAACGAAGGACGATCTCCCTCTAGTGACCACCTCCTGATCAGGAATTATGAGGTTGCGAGAAAATCAAACATGTTTGACATTCATTCTTTCTGTAAAATTGACAGACCGTAGTAGCCACGTTTGCTCAGCCATGTCTTTGTGCAAATACGTTGTCACCTTTTCTTTTTAGGGCTTTCTGCGCAAAATTGCACAAATTGCAAAGGCAGCGTGTTTCACTCTAGTGACAGGGTTTCCCGCGGGTCCTTAAAAAGTCTTAAAAGGCATTGAATTCTTCAAAATAAAACTAAGGCGTTAGTTACGATGAACGATGGGGATTAAGGCAGTGGAGTCACACATGCGAAGCACGAAACACAAAGCGTCAAAATCGAGTTACTGAGAAACAGTCTGTATTTCTCAGTTTTGTTCCAGCCTTGTCTCTGCAAGACAAAGTTTGTGAATTCAGTTAAATAATTGTTAAAATATATCTGTCATTGGTGTTTTTAGCTTTCTTCCTGTATTGGAAGCTTTTCAAAATCTGAAACATTAGTGCAGTGGTTTATGTTAAAGTAAACCTTTGGGTTAAGTTGTAGCAAGCAGGTTTTTCTTGTGAATTTGATCTTAAATTTTTATTTCAAGTGGCATTAAAACGTCTTAGAAAGTCTTGAATTTAACTTGCATTATGCTGTAGGAAGCCTGAGTGAGCTTCATATTCATATTCCTCTTCTACTCGTTTGGCTTCTGGATAGACAAGTCCAAGTAGTGCAATCTCACTGCTTAGCTGAGTCCCACTTGGTTTATACACGTACAGTGTGAGCAGGTAGATCGCATCAGAGCGTCGGGTCGCACAGTGTGAGAACAAACATCGTGAGCCGTGAACTTACACTGTACGATGAAACTGCGGTTTGGTCGTACAGTGTGAGCTGAAAGCTGCGTGCAACTATTGAAAAAAATCACACAGAAAGGAGAAAATTCCACCTGAGATTACATATGTGAACTAAAGCAAGTACAGCTCCCAAACCATACATTAGAAATCCAGTTGTTTGTATTGGTATGACAGAAATGCATTGAGGAATATTTCTTAGGTGGCGTTTAGGTAGTTAACATTGGATTACCTCTCCAGGAGTTATTTACTGTCGCAGGTAGGAGCTTCAGCCAGAGAGTAAATGTTGGGGCCGGGATGATTTCAGGAGGGTCGGCCCTCACACGCTGAAATTAGGACTGGCCCACCAGTCAGAGTCTGACTATGTCTGATTTATAGGTGATTAAACAAAGGAAAAAAAAAAAAGAAAAAAGTTTTGCCTCACCAAATTGTTGTCCAAAATAAACACTTCAAAACACCATGAAACTCCATTTGAAACTCTGGATGAACCATCAGACCTTATAGATCATAATTTTGACTATAACTGAAGCAAATCTGGACTGAATAAGTTGAAGCATGTTTTTTTTTTTTTTTTCCCACAAAGGTTTTAGTGAGCAGTGTCCTAGGTGGAAATGTGATTTTGGCAAAAGTGCATAAATGCATTTCTTTCACTCATAAAAGGGACTCTGGTCAGAAAAATATGCTGATTTACATTATTGGAGACCTTCTGCATAAGACAAAGCCTTTGTTTCTGATATATATATATATATATATATATATATTTTTTTTTTTTTTTCATTTTATATAAACAGGGACATTTTTAAGTGCGCTGTTTGTCCTCTTGATATTCGCTCTAAATCACTTTAGAACCCTTTAAAGAGTAGAACCCGCTTTGGAAAGATTTAAACAGCCACAGATTCGTCCTCACAGCTTCTGCTTCATCCGTCAGCCTGATGGTGTCCATCACTGTCGTTTCCATGTTTCCTGCAGTTCCAGAGACGCTGAGAGGCGTGGTGAACCCGCTGTCCAGCAGGAGAAGAAAGAGGAGGATAAAACCAGCAGCAGAGGGGATCGTGAAAAGCAGCTTCAAGGTCAGTTTTACATCCAAACCATGAAAATGAAACGCCATTTTTATTAAGGAAAGCTGTAATGATGAGCTGAAATAGACTTTTTATTGAAGTTTGAAATAAGATGGAATCAAAACTAAAATAATTAGTCTAAAATGCCTTCATAATAAAGGTATAAGGCGTCACAGAATGATTCTACAGGGTATTTGGTGCTGAAAAGGCATATTTGCTGTTCTATGAGCCCTAATGCTACCTGGTTAAAAGCCCCAGAATGAAACGACAGGTTTTCTTCCATTAATGGTAAGATCATGAATATTTAGATGAGCTGATTGGTTGGTTTACAACGAGCAAAGCTGCTGAGTAAAGTGTCATCACAGCAACAAGCACTCACTCACTGAAACATCAAACTGTTGATATGGTAGAGTGACCAGACGTTCTATATATATATATATATATATATATATATATATATATATATATATATATATATATATAATTTTGTTTAAATCCCTATAGTTACTTTGATAGAGTGATTATTGAACGGCCAGTTTATTGAAGCAACGTTCCTATCACAGCTCTGGACAGCAAGCTATAGTTCATCTGAAATTCATTTTCCTGCAGGTTTTTATTTCTGCAACAATTAACTGAAGGTTCTGGTTTTGTCTCTGGCAGAAAAACGTCCCAGGAAGGAATCCGCTGAAGAGTTTCCGATTCACGGGATCAAGAAATAAGAAAGCCAATGGTGCTAAATCGTAGCTGCTGGGGCTCGGCTCTGGATGTGTCACCTCCTCACAGACTCATCAGGACTTTTTGTGCTCCACTGTCCAACCAGATGGGAAAATATGAACAATCTTTAGACGCTGAAAACAAAATGAATTTATGCGATCTGAAAAGAGATGTGGACTTTTTTGGATAAAGCTGTCATCCTTAGGCCTGTTATCTCATTAGAACATTTATCGTTGTAATTAATTTGAAATGCTTTCAAATAAAACGTCTTCATGCCTTCTGTCTGCTGCTGACTTTGATAGAGTGGATGATGGAGTGGAACAGTCAGAGGAATCAAACTTCCTGCTTGGGTTTAACTTCTCTGGTTGTTTTTGTTCTGGGATCCAGCTGGGAGGATCATAGAAAACGGCAACTAGAAGTTAGATGTAAGGCTGCAGCAATCGGACCGATCGATTATAGAAATAATCGTCAACTAATTTAGGCTACGTTCACACTGCAGGCCTTGATGCTCAATTTCGATTTTTTTTTTTTTTTTTTTTTGCGTTCACATTTCCAAATATGAAACTTGTTTGTGATGTCCTGTGTGAACTGCATTCATACAACCTAAGTGTCCCGCATTCAGAGTAGAGGACGCAATGACATCACAGGCCAGCGTGCTCTGTGTTTACCAAAGTAAACATGGATTGTAGAGCTGGAGAACATCTAACGATCCTTCCCAACCTTAAAAACTCAATCTTTCCAAGATGGTTAAACATAAATACTGCGCTCTGCATCATCGTCCACCATTGTTGTTGTTTTTCTTGCCACTTCTGTGTAGGAAGAAGCAGAAGAGGGAACCCTGTCAGGTATTAATGACGTTCAGGTCGGATGGATGCGACCTGGCTGTTCAGACAAAGGTCGCATTAAAAAAGATCAGATTCGTATCGAATTCAGGACCACATAGCCTAGTGGCCTGGGTCCCATTGGAGACGATCGGATCTGTGTTTTCAGACTGACATGAAAAGATCGCATATGGGCAAAAAAATCAGATTTGGGTCATTTCAGGCTGCAGTGTGAACGTAGCTTTAGTAATCAATAATTAACTGGAGCAGTTTTTCCCTACATGGGGAACATATACCCCTAGTGGCCCACGCGTGCATTGCAGGTGGTACATGAAAAGATTTGGTTGCTTAGATGGTAACATAATATAGGGCTCGGATCTGTTATTTGTTTTTGTGTGTGAGGATCCAATTGAATAGAATTAAACAAGCTTTTATCAACCAAAAAGTATGTTTTCATTTGAGTTCACCTTCATTTTTGACACATTAAAACCAAGCAGAGGAACAGGCTGGATGTAGAGAACAGCCTGGGATCCGCTGTTTTTCACACTGAGCTATCAAAGCAGCTCAGGTGTCTTAATGAAAACAAAGTAAAACTAATTAAGTCAGTCTGACTATATTTTAATCTGCAGGGTTCCTGTGGACCCTTAAAAAGCTTTAAAGCTACAGTGTGTAATAATTACAGGGATATACAGTCAGAAATGTAATATATTATACATAACTATGTTATCATCTACGAGCTCAGCCTCTTAACCTTAATATTTGAGTTGCCTTAGAATTCGTTATTTATAATTACATAGGAGCGGGTCTCGCAGCCATGGAGGCAGACATCTTTGCGCTACGGCAGCGCAGAGCCAACAAACTAGCGATTGCGAGATCGACCATTACGCTCGAAAGTAACTACGGCAAGTTAAGAGAGATGAACTGAGACGGTACTGAACAATAGATGGCAGTATTAAAATGATCTATGTAAACAAACCTCATCACTTGAGAAGGTAGGTGATGCGGACGTCGTGGAAGACATTTTGTCCCGTAACGCTTGCATACTGTTGGGGGGGGAGAAGCGGTGGGGGGGAGATGTTCATGTTGCTGCGGTATGAACGTTAGATGTTGCTGAAAATAACACACTGTAGCTTTAAAAAGCATTGAATTCTTCAGTATCTCGTAAGTCCTAAACTTGTCACCAGGTCATAAATAGTAATTAATTTGTGTAACTCCTATCAAGAATTAAAGTAATTTACAAAGATTTTTTGACATTTACCCAACGGTTCCCGGTGCATGTTGGGCTCTGACAGGGCTGCCCTTTGTCACCAGTTCTGTTCATTACATCTATGGACAGAATTTCTAGGTGCTGCCAGGGACCGGAGGGTGTCCGGTTTGAGAACCTCAGGATATCATATCTGCTGTATACAGATGATGTTGTCCTGTTGGCCTCATCAAACCAGGACCTCCACCGTGAACTGGGGTGGTTCGCAGCCGAGTGTGGGGCAGACCTGCATGAGGATGAGCACCACCAAATCCGAGGCCGTAGCTCTCCACCGGAGAAAGGTGGACTTCCCTCTTGAGGTCGGTGGAAAGTCCTTGTCTCAAGTGGAGGAGTCCAAGTATCTCGGGGTCTTGTTCACGAGTGAGGGACGGATGGAGCGTCAGCAGTGATGTGATCGCTCTATCAGATTGTTCTCAGTCTAATCAATCAATCAATCTACGTTCCCACCCTCAGCTATGGTCATGAGATCTGGGTAATGACCGAAAGGACAAGATTGCGAAAACCAGCGTCTGAAATTAGTTTTTCTTTGCAGGGTGGCTGAGTGCACCTTTCGAGATCGGTGGAGGAGCTCAGTTACGGAGGAGCTCAGAGTAGAGTCATTGCTCCTCCACATCGAAAGGAGCCAGCTGAGGAGGCTCGGGCACCTGTTCTGGATGCCTTCTGGTCGCCTCCCTCTGGGGGTTTTCCAGGAATGTCCCATTTGGAGGAGGCCTCATAGAAGGCCCAGGACACGCTGGAGGGACTATGTCTATGAACACCTGGTGTTGCCTCTCAAAGCAGCTGGAGGAGGTGTGTGTGGATCGGGGAGTCTGGGCATCTTTACTTAGACTGATGCCTCTGTGACCTGGCCCCGAATAAAGAGGAAAAAAAATGGATGGATGGACAAACAGCTTAGTTGTAACCATTATTAGTTAAATCCTGACAGCAGAACCAATAAAAACGATGTTGCAAACAGAGCTTGGGGTGATGCGCCGCCAACATTTTATCTGGACAATGTGGGAAAGTGGAAATTCCAATGTTGCGCTGATACCAGTATCGGGCAGGGCCCCGATCCAGCACTGAAATGGTGGTGTTGGTATCGGCGAGTACCAACAAATAGGGCACCGATACCATTACGAAAGCCATAAGTTTATTCAACTATTATCACCTGTACCAGCAGCTTATTAAAGCATCAGCATTTTCAGAAATCTATAAGATGAAATACGTGCATTTAAAAGACATAACAAAAGGCTTTACGCATTACCTGCTTTACCTTAACAGATCAGCTTAGTTTTATTATTTTTATTCATTTAGCAAGTACAAGAAATCACTTTACATGAAGAAGATAAAGAAAAAGATGCACAAGTTTACCCATAAGGAAGTTCCTGCTCAGCAGAGGATTTTAATTAAATGGACCTGATTCTACTTAGAAGGTGAAGCTCTCCTAAAAAAAAAAAAACATCTTCCTTCATAAATAGAGATGCACCGATCCGAGTTAGAAGCTGTAAATCTTTGACCTGCCAAAGAAATAACTCTTCTAACCTTCCAGCAGTCAGAGCTGATTGGATGCTTAATATAGAGACAGCGCCAACATCAGAAATCAGTCACTGTAAAACTTCATTCTGCCAAAAGTCCACATATTTTTATTTAAAACACACACGTGAATTACTCTCCACACCGATTTTAAATGATTAAGCTTTTTCTGAGCTTTTTTAACTAAAAACAACAACAGATTATAAGGTTATACAAGTTAGTAATATAATGCAAGAAGCTTGAGAAAACAGTTTGTACTTCTTTACTACTTAAAAAAAGCTGGGCTTCTTGGAGGACCATGACTCCCAGTTACAGGTTAAAATGGTTTCTTATTGAACAGACAGAATCAGACTGCAGAGCTTCTACATATCTTGATTTTTTTTTTCTGGCATCATTATATGATTAATAGATTCATAAATCTTTTTAAACAGAGCACAGAGAGGAGCAGGGAGAGCTGCAGATTAAAGGTGAAACTGATTTACTGGGAAATAAAACATGCAATAAAATATATCTCCAAGTTTACCAGAAACTTTGCAAGAAAGAAAATGTTATATTTAAAATCCAGCATATCCATATTTTTCTGGATGGATGGATGGAATTTAAATTGTACTTCTAGGGATGCATGATATGTCGATATTGGCATCGGAATCGGCTGTTAATCATTATTTTTTTATACATGAGTGTTTTTGGACCCTATATATGTAATACACTAAAAGGCATCTCTCTACCTATAAATATAAATATCAGGGTGTTATGGTTCTCTTGTTCTCAACAATAGGAAAGCATTCAATAAATATATGTTTGAGCTCATTTTTGGAAAATACAGAAACCTAATGAAAGCGTTCGAGTCGAGTAACTGTATGCCGTCCCAACCAACTTTCATCACAAAGTTACACCTTTGTCCTCACCCAATCTCGAAGTGTGCGCCCAGCCACCCTGCGAAGGAAACTCATTTCAGTTTGCGATCTTGTCCTTTGGGTCATTACCCAGATCTCATGACCATAGGTGAGGGTGGGATTGTAGATTGATCGGTAAATCGAGAGCTGTGCCTCTCGACTCAGCTCCCACGAGTGTGGTAATAGATTCAACCTTAAACCTTTATTCCATAGTGAAAGTATGAGGAGAATCAAGACAATACTGTTTTCTTTTTGTTTGTTTTTTTTTAAAATAAGAAATAATCATCAGAGCATGATCAGCAGCTCTCACTGGAGCGGTTTGCAGCCGAGTGTGAAGCGGCCGGGATGAGGATCAGTGCCTCCAAATCCGAGACCGTGGTCTTGAGCCGGAAAGGGTAGAGTGCCTTCTCCGGGTTGGGAGGATTTACTGCCCCTAGTGGAGGAGTTTTAACCTGACAACAGCCAGATGCATGTCTCGCTCCGCCCAGCTCCACTCACATACATCTGGGAACCCGCTCATTGAAAGTGATTTCCCCAACCGAATTTATGGTCTGTCCAATCAGGACGCAGGGTGGGTGTGTCCTGGAGTGGAGAAGCGACCGTGAGATTCCAACAACAATGGCGGCTCGCATTGAGGAAGCAAGCGTTAGCATTGATGCTGCTATTTCTTCTGTGTTGTCCAATCTATCTGATATTGTTTCATTAAAAGAACATCAGAGAACGGCTTTGAAGGCTTTTGATGGTGGAAACGATGTTTTCGCCCTTCTCCCGACCGGATTTGGCAAGAGCTTGATCTACCAAATGGCTCCTCCTCTCACAGCGTCACGGGTTAGCTTCGGTGTGAGTGGTTGAAATAGCACGTCAATAAAGATGACAGACAAGTGGCTTATCCAATCATATGCAAGGAGTTTTGATAAGGCCCAGCCTTCAGTAAAGGCAATTCCTATGGCGGGTTCCCAGATGTATGTGAGTGGAGCTAGGCGGAGCGAGACATGCATCTGGCTTTTGTCAAGTTAGAGGAGTTTAAGAATCTTAGGGTCTTGTTCACGAATGAGGGGAAGATGGATTGGTGCGGCGTCTTCTGGGAAGCGGGCTCTGCACCAGTCTGTTGTGGTGAAGAGAGAGCTGAGCCAAAAAGCAAAGCTCTCGATTTACCGATCGATCTACGTTCCTGTCCTCATCTATGGTCATGAGCTTTGGGTCATGACCGAAAGAACGAGATCCTGGATACAAACGGCCAAAATTTGTTTTCTCCCTAGTTGTCCAGGTTCTCCCTTAGAGATAGGGTGAGAAGCTCAGTCATCCAGGGAGGACCCAGAGTAGAGCCGCTGCTCCTCCACATAGAGAGGAGCCAGTTGAAGTGGCTCAGGCATCTGGTTAGGATGCCTCCTGGACGTCTTCCTGGTGAGGTGTTCCAGGCACGTCCCACCGTAGGAGGCCCAGGGGGAGACCCAGGACACGCTGGGGGGACTATGTTTCTCGGCTGGCCTGGGAGCGCCTTGGGGTTTCCCTGGATGAGCTGGCCAAAGTGGCTGGGGAGAGGGACGTCTGGGCCTCCTTTCTGGAGCTGCTACCCCCGTAACCCGACCCCGGATAAGCAGAAGAAGATGGATGGATGGAAAAAATAATCAAAATAACTGCCCTTTTTTTTGCGTGACATTTTTATGTTGTAGTTCTTTCCAGGTGCTGTAGAATCTATAGCAGGTAGTTCTACGCATCAATACATCAGCTGGTTTCTGAAAGTTACAGGTTCTTTAAAATTACTCCCAAAATGATAGAGATGTACTGATACTAGAAACATTCAATTTTTTAACACTCAAGTATTTTCAAAACTGAGTACTTCAATCTCAGTTAACTTTTACTTGTATTTGAGTAAAAGTTTAATAAGTATCAATCATTGAGTATTTAGTCCACCACCTTCTGTGTTCATAGACTGTTTGTCATTTAGAGGGAGGAACCAATCAGAGAAAGTAAACTGCCTGTGATTGGTTTCTTCCTGTTTAGGGGTGGAAACGTTAGCAAAGCATCTTCTTGTTCTCTTCAACAGTTAGATTCATTTACTGATAATTTTATAAACACAATGCTGGACACACACAAAAATCCTAACACTATCTGCAAACAGATTTAAAATGTAGATGTCTGTGTTCAGCAATAAACCTGAGTTTATTCAAACCTTACTTTCCTGATTATAAACGGTGAGCTAATGCTGTCAGAACACATTTATGAATAAGTTAAATGAAGTTATTTAATGATGACATAATTAAAACAGTTTTTACCCTTAAAGAGAACAGATATTAGCCTGAAGATGCTTTGCTAACACGACTTTCCCTGAGAAGTAGCCAATCACAGGCAGTTTATTTCTTCAGTTGGTTTAACCCTCAAAGTATGGAGCTAAATCTGCCTCACAATTTTCACAAATACACATATGTGATTCGTACATGAACAGGACAAGATCCACACACACAAAGCAGGATTCAGGCAAGCATACAAGATCCACACATGCACAGCACATTATTTGCCAAAGTATTTCTGGGCCTTAAACAACTATGAATAAATTACAAAGTACCATTGGTCTTTAAACTTTGCTGCATTTGTGTGTGGATTTTTGAGACTCTCCTGACATGCCTTGATACACAAATGCATTTTTTTAAACCGGATGGTTTGCAACCAATTACAGTGCTCCCTTGTATAAGCCAATCACAAGAAAGTATCGTGCTGTGAGTGTGTGTGGATCTTGTACTGTGTATGTGTGGACTTTTTGTGCTTGCGTGAATCATTGTGTGAGACCGATTTAGCTCCATATCAAAGTGACCAAAATTGACATGAGCTCAGAAAATGATCCACGTGAAAGTAGGAAGAACATAGAAAGCAAGAGAGCGCAGAGAAGCATGGAGTCATGGATGTGGCACACTGGAGGCCTTATGGTATTAAATCCAGACAAGTTTAGGTGTTTTAAATAAAACTGCTCCTATATTTATTATATATGTGCATCTTTGGCAGAACCTTGTAGTATTATACCTTTTAAAGCAATAACAAACAGAAGGTATGCTTTAAACTGTGTCTGGCCTCATATCAGTGGTTAAATTGGTTTGCATTAGTAACTAACCATCGGTCTCTAGTAACTAACTCATATTTATGACAAAAAAGGAGATTCTCAGACGTTTGCCAACATTCACAGCATGTTCAAAGAATTTTGGAAAACCAAAAGGATAAAACTAACTTTGCTGCAGTGAGTTCCTGTTATGTTGTGAAAGTCTCTTTCTCAGCCTGAATAAATCACAAATGTCTGAAAAATATGTAAAATACAACTTCTTAGATCTGTGTGCTTCGTCTGACTTCGTTTTACTACTATAATATTCTACTTACTACATCAAGTTTTGCCCTCATTCTCAGGTAAGTCAACTTCCACACCGAATAGCTCTGTTATTTTGACCTGTAAGACTTTATGGTGCGTTTAATGACCAGAGAGGTATAGGAATCAGCATTCCTAGCGATCTAATTTATGGAGTGAATTTTGTTCCATTATTGTTGCAAGCGAAGAACAGATTTTTAAATCCACATTGGAAAAACAAAAATAAAAAAATAAAATCCAGAAATTTTCCACTTGTTATTTCAAACTAATATTTTTCAAATGTTATTTTTTAACTCTTTTGTGCTGAATTTAGATTTTTGAATAATAGTTTATTTTTTTATTATATTTTTAAAATCATTTTTCTTCAGAATTTCATGGCTATACTATATATTTGTCTGTTATTCATTTCATAATTTTGTTTTTATTCATTTAATTATGAATATTTCAGGCATCCATATATAGAGTAATATAACTTGACAATAATAAAATTTGTTAAACTCAATCTGAAAAAGAAATAAAAATTTATCGAAATATAGAACACGTAAAATAAAAGAATAAACATTTAAAAATATTTAAGATAACAAATTGTAAAAAAAAAAAAATTATACATTTAAAAACTTAAAATGTGAAAAATAGAAAAAGACCCCTAAAAAACAATATCTGCGAAAACAAATATTAAAAACATTTTATTAAATAAAATCTTCTCTCTTTTTTAACATTTCTGTCCGCAATTAGTTTTCTTTTCTTTCAACAATAATTGAACAGAATTCACTCCATATCTGGTCACTGATCAGGGTTTAGTGTTAAAAATCCTCCAGTTTCTCGGTGCATCTCTCACTCCATAAAGATTCCTAAAAACAGAAAAAGCTGAAAGACTGCAGTGCCAGTTTGTGGTTATTGATGAGAGATAGGCCTTAATGTGTTTTAATCAATTTTATATTCAAAGTTATATTCCTGTGTGGGCGCCGAGTCAAATAAGAAGGCGTCAAACGGGTTTTCTGTCCAGCTGCCCACAGGAAACCAGGAGTCGTACCAGGAGGTCGTGCTCTCAGTCTCTGGTGGTTGTGTTGTTGTTGTTGTTGTGGTGGTTGTTGTTGTTGTTGTCGTCGTAGTTGGGGGGGTGGTTGAGATCCTGCCTCTTGACCTTCTGGCTTGCAGTCGTCGTAAGCGCATCAGTCTGAGTCGCCTGAGTCGCTCAGCTCTCTGAGGGTTGGCCCGAGGGTATGCTACTGTGGTGGTGGTGGGCGGCGCCCCAGTAGTCGACACAGTCGCCTTCAACCTGTTGGTTTTTGGAACGACTCGAATGGGCCTGTTCCCATTCAGAGCCATGATCCTTTTGATCCGGTCCCAGTTGGACTTGGCTAAGGTGAAACTGCAGGGGGTCGCTCCGGTGTCATAGCCGACCATGCAGAGCCGCGTGTGGGAGGTGTGGCCGTCTGCTTTGGCCGTCACCTTGTACTCTCCAGGATTGAGCAGCCGCCAGTAGTCTCCGCTGGCAGCTAGAGACACAAGTGGAGGAAGAAAATGACAACAACCAGAAATAGTTACTTTAACAATGAGGGGTTTTATGTGAAAGAACAACACGAGTTAGCATCTAACCATAAACTGGAAGGAAAGGCATAAATTATTTTATTTTAAAACAATGAATGAGGAACATCCTGCAGACCAAGAAATAGCGATTAAGATTTCAACGTTTCAATCAAACAAGGAAATTAGACCAATTTCTGTAGAAAAAAATGACCAGTAAATCCTTGTAGGCATAAACACAACAAGAAAGGTAGCCTATGTTTGCCTATTGCAAAAAAATAAAGCAAAGAAGGCTTTCAGTGTCACTATCTTAGTCTGGATTTTTTTTCATCAACAAGAGAATGAGTTTCCCTTTCACTTTGTTCAGCTTCATTTAAAGCAACTCTATGTAACGTTTAGCCACTAGGGGCGCTATTAGCCTGGGTGCCATTCCGAACTTAGTCCCGCCCACAACGTTTGAGGTCGGGAAGTTCGGTCTGGCATTGCTCAGTAGTAGCGCGAGTGTGCTCGCACAAAATCTGGCGGGCCAATCAAATTGTCAGGGCGGGCTTTATACGATGATGGACAGATGATCAACAGTAACGTAATCAACCACGTGACCAAAGCGCGCTTGGGTGACAACAACAATGGCTGCCGCTGGAGAGTTTAGGTGAGTAGATTCTGCTATTAGGTCTGTTCTAGAAGATATCGACAGCAAATTAATTTTAAAAGAGGAACAGAGAAACGCGATCAAGGCTCATCTTCTTATTCTAGGCGTGCAACTGCACGCTTTGATTTTTGTTGACAACAACTATGCGTCGCTTAACATACGTCACGCACTCCGTTGCTCTTATTGGTTGTAGGTCTATCCAATTGAGTGCAGAGGCATTTTCTTTTCCTGGTTCGTTCGAAACACGCCCCAAAATCACAGCTCTATGGAGCAGTATCAGGCCCCGTCCACACAAAGTCAAAACGAACACGAAATGCTAATATTTTTCAGAACGTTTGTCGTAAAGACGGAGACGTAAAATAAATGTGATCGTCCACACGAATGCATGAAAACGCTGCAAAATGTATGCCAGGCCTATAAGTGGCGCTGTGGTGCCAAAGCAAAAATAGGCGACGAAATGTTGGGCATGCGCACTAATATTTATACATGGTTGCCCTGCGGGTCCATTTTCGTGGTTCAGTCAAATTCAGGTACTGAACTATGTCGTCGATATTGCTCTGTTCTTCCTGGAGATATTCCAGAAGAGGAAGATTCTGTTGTAAGCCCGACAGCAGGGTGAGTAGCATTAGCAGCAACCATTCAACACAGTACGGCGCCATTGTTGTTGTGATACTGTGTCGTGCATGCGTGTAGAGGCGACGCTATGTCGCATGCGTGTAAAAAAAAAAAAAAAATGCGGTTAGAGCTTAAAGATGGAAACGCGAAAACGGCGTTTCAAAATCTTCCCACTCTGAAGGCTGGAAAAAAAAAAGATCGTTTACAGACCCCCGAAACGCCGGCTTCGTATGGATGAGAGGCTGGTTTGGTGAAAAATTTGTGCGTTTAGGCCAGGGGTTGGCTTCGTGTGGACGGGGCCTTAGACTCATATTCTGACTAGAATTGAGTAGGACTACGTCAGGCTAGGGCGCTATACCTGTAACCAGTGGAAGTTCTAGACCAGTGGTCTTTAACCTGTGGCTAAGAACGTTACTCGTTGCTCTTAGCTTTGGTTTAATGTTAATGTTTATAAATATTTATTTCACGTCATGTGCTCCATCCAATGCAGATCATTGGCTCCATCCATATCTAGTGAAAACTAGTGTAACTGGATGAGTCATATAACGCAAACACTCATTGGTTAGCTAAAGGTATAATCAGAAGCAAGCAGGTGTTCTTCAAACTGCTAACATGAATTGTCTATGCCATGCTACAATGTGGGATTCAGAAAAAGATATTCAAATGTCTGAAAGGTCAGACTCAGGCGAGAGCGTATCGGGAGACGGAGACCAACAAGACCTCCCTCATCCTTGGCCCTATCTCAAAGAATTTTTAAAAACTGAGCTTTCAATTCATATAGTGGCATCTAGCTGTTACTATATACTTTTATACTTTAAGTAGTTTTTGGAGCTCATACTTTTTCACTTTTACTTGAGTAAAGATGTCAAGTTAATTTACCAGTGTGTTTTTAAACAGCAGTATCTATACTTCTACTTAAGTAACAAATGTTTGTACTTTTGACACCACTGTTAAAAACACAGTAATATTTTCTATTAGGCAAAGTTGGAAAACCAATTTCTTAACTTTTGAATCTACTGGAGCATAAAAACAAGCCAGAAAGGCAGACAAGGAGCATGGACTCCTGTTAGTGATATATCAGGGAGCTCCTTACATTGGATCTGCACGCCTAGAAGGTTAAAAATGCTTGAGGAGTAGTTTACATCAGTGTGTTTTATGTAAAACTGTTCAGATCAGTATTTATTACACGTGTGCACATTTGGCAGAACTCCGACATAAGGCTGCAAATGGCCCTCGAGCCTCACTTTGGACACCATGGCTTTTCGTCTCAATTTGATTAAACAGTGATTCAGCTTTTGTCTGCATGAAACTGTTTTACTCCAAGTTTCTTTTCCTTTGGTTTTTCTTTGGTGCCAAAAATAGTGAAACCATTCGTGCAGGACTGTTTTTTTTTTCCAGCAGTGGGGTTTTATGTGTTGGATCCTGACATACCGGTTTTGACATCATGCCGGAGGCCCTCCACAGAGATCGTAGCATTAGGCAGCGGGTTTCCCTCCATGTCTCTCACTATGCCTTTTATTCCTCGATTCACCTGCAGAACCAAGGAAAATCTTCTCAGGGCAAAATTCTGTCTAAATATAAATTATCTGAACAGACAGAACACTGGAAAAAAAGATAAAGGAAGTAGAAGGCAGTGTTTTCTGTCTGGTCAGCTCCATTGAACTGTATGGAGGCTGTTTACTCCTAACTCATAGTTTGTTTTGTTTACTGAAATCCATCAAAAACAACTGGTGCAGTTTGAAAGATTGGTGTTAGTTAAATCTCAAATCCTTTGGTTCTCAACGAATCTGTAAGGTAAAGATCCAACCAGACATCAGTGTTGTCTAAAGTTGTATCAAGTGAATTTAAAGAGTGAATCTATAGAGAAAAATAACTTTTGAAAGCTTCAAAATAAAAATAAAAAATTGAGGGTAACTTTCCTGTAATCTAGATTTTATATTTTCAAATTATTATTTTTATTTTCACATTTTATTTCAATGTTCTTTCTTTTTTTTTCTCCAGATTTTAGAATTTCAAGTTTAATTTTTCAGATGTAACTTTTTCAGATTGATTTGTGGGGCGGGGTTTCCTCTACAGTTAGGGGCAAAGATGCGATTCTATTGGTCTGCATGAAAATGAGCAACAACATTTTTATTGATCCAGAGCGAGTGTTTGCACTGGGCTCAAAATATGAAACCTGTAAAAAATTTGACAAAATGTTTTAAATAAAATTTTAAAATATAAAATCTGTGATTAAAAAAAATTATCCGAGTCCAGCAGTTAATTTTTTTATATATATATTTTTTCTTATAACTGTCAATCCATGATCACATATTTGTATTTCCATTTACAAAACAGGTATACATTATTTTTTTCTTTCAAATTATTCCTTTAAACACAGTGCTCTTTGCATGAAACAATATTGGAGCATAAGGTTGTTGTGATAAAATTACTTTATTGTATATACAATTTAGGGGAAAAAATTACGATTAAATGCTTCAAAATAAAAAAAAAGGGCTTTTGAGAATAACTTTCCAGTACTCTAGATTATATCAAATGATTATATTTATTTTCATCTTTTATTTAGATGCTTTTTTTTTTTCAGATTATAGGATTTCAAGTTTTATTTTTCAAATTTCTTGGTTTCAGTTTGATTTTTATGAATTTCCTTCTTTTTTTCAATTTGCATCTTACAGATCACCTGTAGGGCGGGCTTTCCTCTACAGTTAGGGGCAAAGATGTGATTCTATTGGTCTGCATGAAAATTAGCAACAGCATTTTTATTGGTCCAGAGTGTGTGTTTGCACTGGGCTTAAAATATGAAACCTGTAAAAAATTAAACAAAGTGTTTTAAATAATATTTTAAAATATAAAATCTGTGTTATTTATCAAAATGTGAAATATGGAAGATTGATTAAAAAAACTAAACAAACCAGAGTTCAGCAGTAACTTTTTTTTTAAATCAAAGAATTTTTAAATTTACATTTATAAAACATGTTTTAAATGTTAAAATTGATTTAAACACAGTGGTTCTCACTTGCTCCATGAAGGACAGAAGAGCCTCGCGGTTGTTCTCCCACTCTAGTGGCAGCTCGCTCTCATGGGGAAATTTGTCACAACCCAGAAAGATGGAGAGTTCGAAGCAGTTGGTGTGCAGGTAGCTGAAGTCGTTCATACCTGTGGAGGAAGTCCATGGAGTTTATGGTTTAGAGAGATCTTTACAAATTATTTAAGAGAAAAATGCAACTTTTATGTCTTTTATATACTTTAACTTTCTGGTAAATCAAATTATTGCTTAGGACTTTAACCAACCATACTATGGAGGATAAAAAGTGCCAAAATTAAATAAATAAATACAGCATGAAATAAATAAATAAATGTGTCAATAATTAATTAAATGTGTCAATAATTAATTAAATGTGGAATTAAATAAATAAATGTGTCATTCATTAATTAAAACCACGTCACTAATATAAAGTGCCACAGTTAAATAAATAAATACAGCGATAAATAATTAATTAAATGTGTAATTAATTAAATAAATAAGGAATTAAATATATAAATGTGTCATTGATTTAATAAAATACGTCTTCATTTTATGAAAAAAATATATATAATTATTTCAGTGTGAATTTAATTATTTCATGGTCCTGAGTTGCAGTGCATTAAAACCATTAAAAGAATCTGCCAAAGTCACCCATCAAAGTTAGGGGGTGGTTATCTAACACCTGATTGGTCACTCTGCACATTAAGGCGAAGCAAATCGATTACAGAGACTGTGATCCACAGGTTGTGAACAGGTTCGCGTTAACCCTGCCCCCTAACTTGATAGTGTCAAGTGCTGTATATTGGCCTTAGGAATAATTTAGAATAACTTATATGTGTCAACTATTTAGGTCACTCTTAAGCTGCTGCCCCCGCGACCCGACCCCGGATAAGCGGAGGAAGATGGATGGATGGATGGATATTTAGGTCACTTAGGCTACATTCACACTGCAGGCCTTAATGCTCAATTCCAATTTTTTGTGAAAACCAATTTTTTTTGCATTGCTGTTCATGTTTCCAAATATATGCCACTTGTATGTAATCTCCTGTGTGAACTGCATTCATGCAGCTTAAGTGTCCCACATGCGCAGTAAAGAACGCAATGATGTCACAAGCAAGTGTGCTTTGTGTTTAGGGAAATAAACATGGATTGTAGTGCTGGAGGGCATTTAGCGATCTTTCCCACACTTAAAGTTTTAGGGAAACAGCTGTTCCAACCGTTGCATTTCCGAATTCTCCAGAGTGGTGCACGACTTTACACGAGTGAATAAAGTGAATGTGATTGGTCGTTTATCAAGGGGGCGGGATTGTTGTGGCAGAAGGTTCGCAAGCAAGTTTGGTTGTGGCCGGTTTGTCGGAAGCATCTTGCTAACCAGTTAGCAACTTAGTGCTAGCAGGTTCCCAATGGGAAATTCCATTGGAACCAAGTAGCACTAAATTGGTGACTTAGAAACGACACTGTCAAGGAACGCTATGGACAGAGGAAACATGCAAGAGGAGGAGAGTTTAGTGTCGGAGGTCGTGGATGAGTCTCCTCCGTCATCCATTTTTCATTTAGAGAAGGAAAGCGGGGATGAAGATGTTGTGGAAGAGGACGCCAGGGTGGCAGAAGCTTGGTTTGGTGTAGAAGGCTTACAGCCGTACATGTTTGAGCCCTTTCCTCGCAACGCTGCCAGTTCTGTTAGACCGAAAACATTTGATTACAGATGACCATTGATATATTATTGGCCGAATTTATGTGTTTAGGCTGACGTATAACAGACTGACCTGCAACAATAACACAGATTTTAAGACAGTATTTTTTTTTTCAAATAGAAATTTTCTTACTTTTGCGGCAATATCGTCTGATAAAGAGTACATTTATATACATGTTTAAGGCAGAATGATTTTTCATTTAAATGTGATTTCCCTAAAAAGTCAATCTTTTTTTAGTAAAAAAAAAAGACTGCTCTTCGCATTATCGTCCGCCATGTTTGTTGTTTTTCTTCCTGCTTCTGTGTAGCAAGACACAGAATAGTGACCTTTGTTGAGTATTAATGGCGTAAAGTTCGGATGAATGCGAACTGGCCTTTCGTACACTGGTTGCATTTAAAAAGATCAGATTTGTATCAGATCCAGGAACACATAGCCAAGTGGCCTGGGTTGCATTGGAAAAAATTCTATCTTTGTTGTTCAGACTGCCATGGAAAGATCAGATATACACTCACCGGCCACTTTATTAGGTACCCCATGCTAGTAACGGGTTGGACCCCCTTTTACCTTCAGAACTGCCTCAATTCTTGGTGGCATAGATTCAACAAGGTGCTGGAAGCATTCCTCAGGGAGTTTGGTCCATATTGACATGATGGCATCACACAGTTGCCGCAGATTTGTCGGCTGCACATCCATGATGCGAATCTCCCGTTCCACCACATCCCAAAGATGCTCTATTGGATTGAGATCTGGTGACTGTGGAGGCCATTTGAGTACAGTGAACTCATTGTCATGTTCAAGAAACCAGTCTGAGATGATTCCAGCTTTATGACATGGCGCATTATCCTGTTGAAAGTAGCCATCAGAAGTTGGGTACATTGTGATCATAAAGGGATGGACATGGTCAGCAGCAATACTCAGGTAGGCTGTGGCGTTGCAACGATGCTCAATTGGTACCAAGGGGCCCAAAGAGTGCCAAGAAAATATTCCCCACACCATGACACCACCACCACCAGCCTGAACCGTTGATACAAGGCAGGATGGATCCATGCTTTCATGTTGTAGATGCCAAATTCTGACCCTACCATCCGAATGTCGCAGCAGAAATCGAGACTCATCAGACCAGGCAACGTTTTTCCAATCTTCTATTGTCCAATTTCAATGAGCTTGAGCCCACCTTGGTTGTAATGGGTGGTTATTTGAGTCACTGTTGCCCTTCTATCAGCTCGAACCAGTCAGGCCATTCTCCTCTGACCTCTGGCATCAACAAGGCATTTCCGCCCACAGAACTGCCGCTCACTGGATGTTTTTTTCTTTTTCGGACCATTCTCTGTAAACCCTAGAGATGGTTGTGCGTGAAAATCCCAGTAGATCAGCAGTTTCTGAAATACTCAGACCAGCCCTTCTGGCACCAACAATCATGCCACGTTCAAAGTCACTCAAATCACCTTTCTTCCCCATACTGATGCTCGGTTTGAACTGCAGGAGATTGTCTTGACCATGTCTACATGCCTAAATGCACTGAGTTGCCGCCATATGATTGGCTGCTTAGAAATTAAGTGTTAACGAGCAGTTGGACAGATGTACATAATAAAGTGGCCAGTCAGTGTAGATGTCAGGTCGAATATGGGCAAAGCAGTTGTATTGGGGTCACTTTAGGCTGCTCTGTGACTTCAGTGTGTCAGAGTATGTTATTTTTATTTTTTTAGACCAATCTGCCCATCCAAACCTTAGAACAGTCCTCTATGGTCTGTTTGCCATATTTTACTTACTGCCCACCACAGGCTTCCAGCTGGCTCTGTTAATGATCCCCTGCCCTCCAGTGACATCATCGCCGTGACAGGATCCCCGGTAGGTCTCCGTCATGGTCAGGTGGCTGTGTGCGTACGACATCGCCAACCAGCGAAACATGGCATCATCGGCCGTCTCCCTGAGGGCTCCTTCGTTCTGCCGCTGAATCCGAGCCCAGGTCTCTTCGTTCATCTCAGCATTAGCCCTCCAACGCCGGCTGTCAGTTAACTGACATAGAAGGACGGTACAGAGTCATCATGCTCATACTGCTCAACATCTTACATGCGTTAAGTTCTGATAGACTTACAGAAATTGGAGGACGCTGCATATCAAAAGGGTAAACCACCATTTTCTCTCCTCCTTGTAAATTGGCTCCAAGCACAAATGGAGTGCGCTCCATCCATGAAATTATAGCTTTGGTCTCGACTGCAAGCTAAAGTAAGAAAACACTATTAATACAGATGTAAAAGATAAAAAACAAAACAGAAAAAGGCTCCTGGTGTCTGTAGACTCACAGAACCACTGAGGTAGTTTTCCGGCAGTGGAATGTGATGATTGGGCACTATACGAGGAACCCAACCTCTGTCCTCAGCTCCCCACAAGATGCTGTTCAGATCCGGGAAGTTCTGGAAGAGGTCATAACCTTCCTCAGTCCAGTGGCCCAGCGCCCAGTTTCCCATCTCAGAGCCCTGAGGTACAGAAAGAGGACATTTAATGACTGATTCTTTATCCTGGAATTGTGAAAAACCGTGTTCACGTTTTTAGTTTAAGTTACTGACATTGCTGTTATTCAACAGAGACTTGTCACATTTCGGTTTTAAAAGATCAAACACTAAAAAACTTTGAACAGTAGCTTTGGCATATAGGTAAGCTGGACAAAAGCCTTTTTACAAATAGGGGGTTAAATAATTGCTGTTGTGCAATAACCCAGAACCACACCCATTTCTATTACAAACCCCACACTAAGGCCCCATTTCAACTACTCTTTTAAAACAGTGCTGAGATCAGACCAAGCACGGTAACAGAGATAACTATTGAGTGTAAAAGGGCGCACTTTCTTTAAAATTTCAATTTAACCAAATATTTTTAAAATTTACATTAACAAAAACCTGTCCTTTGCTTGGGAAATTAATGGAACAAATTTGACTCCCTATGAGTCTTGGTTGACCGCACCATCTCATAGGCCAGCTCGTATGCGTCTGGGTTCAGCGATGGCACCAGGTGGATCCTCACTCCATCTACCAGGCGTCGAACTCTTGGGTTGTCATCTTTGTATTCCTTACAAAGGAACTGCATCAAAAGCAGGAGAAGCTCCCGACCCAGAGCCTCGTTGCCATGGAGACCGGCTGTGTAACGGAACTCCGGTTCTCCTAACGATGGTTCAGAAAATCGGGACAGATTTGCATTAAGGGTGTGAAGCTAGTGAGCTCACAAAAAAATAGAACAAAGTGAATGACCTGTTGAATAGAGAAGAAAAAATGTCAACCTTCCTCGTGTTCGCCAGGGTTGTCGGAGATCTCCATGGCATACATCTTAAGGCCTTTGGAGCTTTTCCCAATGTTATAGATCCGGGTAATATTTGGACACTCCTCATTGATCACCTTCATCATCTAAAACGAAGCGATGAAAGAGGGAATGAGATCAGAGCTGGTTTACGTCAGCCAGAGGTAAACCAGGAGGCTTAGCCAGCATAAAACCTGTCTCATATCCTTATAGTTGTGGTGTCTGAAGTCCAGGTCGTCAGATGAGTTGACCTCATTCTCACTTTGATACCTGCCTGAGGGCATAAAGGACACCATGTCAGAAAGAAACGCATTTATATTTATATGAAACGTGTCATAATTGGAAGTACATGCAATTATAGATTATTAGTGTGGAGGGTTAAGGGAGACAAAATTAAATAAATGTATCACAAAATAAATGAATGTAAAACGAAATAAATAAATGGACCATTAAATATTCCATGAAATAAATAAACTAATTGATTTATTTCATACATCATAAACTAATAAAATGTTTCATAAAATGAACCATTATATAAATACACGTACCAATTAAGATAAAATGAAATAAATGTTTCATTTCATGTTCCATTAATGAATTAAAGGTACCATTTATTGTTAATTGATTTTATGTTTAAATGTATTCATTTCATGATACATTTTAAAAATTTGTCCCCTTCAATCCTCCATATGTTCAATATGATACATTCAAGCATTTATTTGTGTATTGATTCTTTAAAGAAAGGTGTTTCAATATTTCCATGTCAAATATTGGTAAAGCATAGATCTACTTAATCAGAAAAATACTTTCTCTTGTTTTAGATTTTATTCTATTTTTAAAAATTTTTTATTTTGTTATCCCGAGCTATCTCTATAGTTATGCTGCTATAGACTTAGACTGCTGGAGGACATAGGGACCCCTTTTTCATCATTCTGCTTCATTCTATCTCTATTCTGCAGAATCTGTTAGTTCAATCTCTAACGTTCTGCTCTCTCTACTTTTTCTCATAATAGCTTCATCTGGTCTGTTCCTGTTTGGCTGTGACTCCATCCTGGAGAGAAATATCAGCTGTGCTGCTGCCATCAAAACCTTTGTTTATAGATGTTGGAGATCAGCCTGTTTTTCAGTGTAGTCCTGTTTCTCTGACTGTGACCGGCTGGATGTGCTCTCTTCATCCTCTGACATGGGAGCTGGCTCCGAGCTCGTCTGCCTGGCAGTGTGTTTCCTAGACGGGGCCGCCTGTTACAGTTGCTTTATGTATCTCTGCTTCTGTTATGTCAAAGTCCAAAACTGGGGTTCAGAACAAAGACTAATATTAGGCAGAAGGTTGAGCTGCTAACCATCAAAGTTTAACCTCTTAGACCAGATGGTTTAAGGACTACTTTCCACCTAAAACAGTTTAAGCTAATTCCATGCTGTCTGATAGATCTATAAATGGTAAAGAGAACTGGGCCGCCTTTTACAGCTGCCTTTTCTATCTCTGCTTCTGTCTCCTTGAACCCCAGTCGGCCTCGGCAGATGGCCGCTCACACTGAGCCTGGTTCTGCTGGATGTTTCTTCCTGTTAAAAGGGAGTTTTTCCTCTCCACTGTCGCTACAAGCATGCTTAGTGTGAGGGATTGCATTCGAGTCAATCAGTCGATGCAATCAACTGGTTTTCCTTAGATAGAAAACTTTGAATCAATTTGACTGGATGATCTGGTGAATGTTCTCTGGAAAACTTTGAGCTGCCAGTTGAAGCAGGGATTTCTTAAAATGTTTTAGGGACAGTGGAGGTGGAGATCCCTTCTCCAGCCTTAGGACATCCACTGTCTGCTGCTGCTAAGATGCTGATTGCTGATGCAAACTGGTGAAACCTCACTCTACACTATTCAGCTGTGTAGTTTGTAGGCATATATTAAGGGTTTTACGTTTAATGAAAAATAATATATTTCACATTTTAAAAGCTGCACCTTGAGCTTTTAAGACTTGGATGTTAAATATCCTGATGTTATTTGTCTGGATGGTGTTTCTCCGTATTACTGACTTGGTAGCTGACAGGCGAGGACCTCGGCTCTCAGACACAGGCTGCCGTTCCAGCTCTGAGGCAGGATCCGGATGTACCGCGCCGTCACAGGTGCAGCAAACTGACTCATTACAGGTGTTTCCTTATCCACGTTCGCATAGAACAACTTGAGGGGGGATAACAGAGAGGGAGGGATTGTATTTTATAATCTATCTCTGATAAAGCTCTGGCTGAGGCGTCCAGGTTGTGCTCACCCATTCAGCGTAGCCGTCATGCAGCACCGTCCAATCAAAGCTGTCGTTGCTGAAGGCCACGTAGTAGGATGAAACAAAATCCTCACTGTAAAGTAAACATTAGTAGTAAGTCTCCTGACAAAGAATACTTCAAACCACAGGCGCAACTTTCTGAAGGACTGGTGGGGACGGTCCCAACCAATAATTTCTGCTTTTTTTTTTTTAACAAACTGTAGATGACACATATCTATATATATATATCTATATATATATATATCTATATCTATATATATCTATATCTATATATATATCTATCTATCTATATCTATATATATATATCTATATATATCTATCTATCTATATCTATCTATATATCTATCTATCTATATCTATATATATATATCTATCTATATATATATCTATATATATATCTCTATCTATATATACACTCACCGGCCACTTTATTAGGTACACCTGTCCAACTGCTCGTTAACACTTAATTTCCAAGCAGCCAATCACATGGCGGCAACTCAGTGCATTTAGGCATGTAGACATGGTCAAGACAATCTCCTGCAGTTCAAACCGAGCATCAGTATGGGGAAGAAAGGTGATTTGAGTGACTTTGAACGTGGCATGATTGTTGGTGCCAGAAGGGCTGGTCTGAGTATTTCAGAAACTGCTGATCTACTGGGATTTTCACGCACAACCATCTCTAGGGTTTACAGAGAATGGTCCGAAAAAGCAAAAACATCCAGTGAGCGCCAGTTCTGTGGGCAGAAATGCCTTGTAGATGCCAGAGGTCAGAGGAGAATGGCCAGACTGGTTTGAGCTGATAGAAGGGCAACAGTGACTCAAATAACCACCCGTTACAACTAAGGTGGGCAGAAGAGCATCTCTGAACGCACAGTACGTCGAACTTTGAGGCAGATGGGCTACAGCAGCAGAAGACCACACCGGGTGCCACTCCTTTCAGCTAAGAACAGGAAACTGAGGCTACAATTTGCACAAGCTCATCGAAATTGGACAATAGAAGATTGGAAAAACGTTGCCTGGTCTGATGAGTCTCGATTTCTGCTGCAACATTCGCAGTTCTATAGGCTACACAATCATGGGGAAGACTGCTGACTTGACAGTTGTCCAAAAGACGACCATCGACACCTTGCACAAGGAGGGCAAGACACAAAAGGTCATCGCTAAAGAGGCTGGCTGTTCACAGAGCTCAGTGTCCAAGCACATTAATAGAGAGGCGAAGGGAAGGAAAAGATGTGGTCGAAAAAAGTGTACAAGCAAGAGAGATAACCGCACCCTGGAGAGGATTGTGAAACAAAACCCCTTCAAAAATGTGGGGGAGATTCACAAAGAGTGGACTGCAGCTGGAGTGAGTGCTTCAAGAACCACCACACACAGACGTATGAAAGACATGGGTTTCTGCTGTCGCATTCCTTGTGTCAAGCCACTCTTGAACCACAGACAGCGTCAGAAGCGTCTAAAGAGAAACAGGACTGGACTGCTGGTGAGTGGTCCAAAGTCATGTTCTCTGATGAAAGTAAATTTTGCATTTCCTTTGGAAATCAAGGTCCCAGAGTCTGGAGGAAAAGAAGAGAGGCACTTCATCCACGTTGCTTGAAGTCCAGTGTAAAGTTTCCACAGTCAGTGATGGTTTGGGGTGCCATGTCATCTGCTGGTGTTGGTCCATTGTGTTTTCTGAGGTCCAGGGTCAACGCAGCCACATACCAGGAAGTTTTAGAGCACTTCATGCTTCCTGCAGCTGACCAACTTTTTGGAGATGCAGATTTCATTTTCCAACAGGACTTGGCACCTGCACACAGTGCCAAAGCTACCAGTACCTGGTTGAAGGACCATGGTATCCCTGTTCTTAATTGGCCAGCAAACTCTCCTGACCTTAACCCCATAGAAAATCTATGGGGTATTGTGAAGAAGAAGATGCAATACACCAGACCCAACAATTCAGAAGAGCTAAAAGCCACTATTAGAGCAACCTGGGCTATCATAACACCTGAGCAGTGCCACAGACTGATCGACTCCATGCCACGCCGCATTGCTGCAGTAATACAGGCCAAAGGAGGCCCAACTAAATACTGAGTGCTGTACATGCTCATACTTTTCATGTTCATACTTTTCAGTTGGCCAACATTTCTATAAATCCTTTGTTTTTATTGGTCTTCAGTAATATTCTAATTTTCTGATATGATGAATTTGAGATTTTCATTTGTTGTCATTTGTAATCATCAAAATTAAACAAAATAAACATCTGAAATATATGAGTTTGTATGTAATGTATGAATATAATATACAAGTTTCACTTTTTAAATGGAATTACTGAAATCAATCTACTTTTTCATGATATTCTAATTTTATGACCAGCACCTGTACTGTGTCCAGAGACTCATAAAACAGGACATTGTTTGCTTTTCTTTGAAGGTGCATAATAACATTATATACCTGTACAAAAAAAGAACAAAAACAATTCCAACATGATAAAATAAAGTTCTATAAACCTAGAGTCCGTCCTGATAGTGACGCTTGGTTGAGGCTAAATGGAATTCCAGCACAGGGCTGGATGGGCTGACAAACAGATGTGGCACCATCTGCTGGCAGAACGATGAACTGAACTGGAGACAACTGAGGCAACTATTAAAAAGATCCCAGTGGTCCTGCGATGTCTCACTGTATAACAACAGCTCATCGTGGTCGAAGACCAACTGATATGGAGTACATTAATTACAGCTGATCTACAGCAACTCTAATTTCTAGTGAATCCTTCCCAGAGTCTCCTATCGGAAGATCACGGGAAAAGAAAATTCCTTTTCCTATCAAATGCAAACAGGAACATAGCATTGAAGTAAATAAAAAAATTATGATGTTATTTTTCCTTAAAATATAGAGACTAAGAATATCATTGCTCTCTCTACTATCAGTATTTATAAGTTGGTTTATGCACACATCTATCAACTATCAGTGGAAAATTAACTAACAGCAGCTACATCTGAACGCCTCAGCTGCTTTAGCTTCCTCCTTAGTGAATATCTACTTTCCTTTAGTTTACCTCCTGCACACATGCTCAGCATTGTACCTCCTTTGTTTTTGTCGAGCTTTATTTACTAAAAAATCCAATTATAGGTGAGCCGTAAAACATAAAAATAACAAATAATGCTGAAGCTACTGGTGTATACATTTTAAAGATGTCATATACTGTCACCAACAGGGGCTTTTATTGCTTCCATTCCTCAGTAAAGGCCAAATTTAGTTAGAGGAAAGATTAACTGTAATGATGGCACATTGTCTCACTAAAGGTGCATCTTTGCAGCTCCTCCAGAGTTACCATCAGCTTCTCGGCTACTTTTCCATAAAACTCTCCTTGCCCAAGCCTAGTGAATACACTGAGCAGTTCTCTAAGTTCAAAGCTTGGATGTTGTTCTGCTTTAAACTGCTTTTCTCTGACCTGTCTGCAATGTTCAGCTGTTAACTATCTGCTTAAACAATCTCTGAGGCCTTCAGAGAACAGCTGGTTTCATACTGACAATGAATTACTCATTAACCGACTCCTTAAGAACACTGACTGGACTTTATTTTGGTGCTTTAGGCAGAATAGCTTTAAAATGTTTATTTTAAATTAATGTGAAATCCTATTTCAATTAATCTATTCTTTTCCATCCACTTTATAATTATGTGTTACTTTGTGTTGATTTATAACCTAACAAAATAAATCTATTTTTAATGAAATACGTGTATTCCTGCTTGATTTGAGCAGCTATGTAAGGCAATTTGCTAATGTAATTTGATGATTACAGGTCAAATCAGAAAAAAAACTACAACTCATTTATGCTATTTGAAATGTACAACGGAGTATTAGGGTCAGGCTAGAGGTTTATTTATTTTTATTATTATTTTGAGAATAAAGTTGTAATATTATAAGAATAAAGTCATAAAATTATGAGAATAAAGTCTTAAATTACGAGAATAAATCTTAATATTAGAAGAATTAAGTCCACAACCTGTTTCTAAAGGTACAACGGTACGAGTATTAGGGCCAGGTTAGAGATATTTTTGTTTTTTTATTTTGAGAATAAAGTCGTAAAATTACGAGAATAAAGTCACAACGAGAAATGCCATAAAATTACAAGAATGAAGTCGTAAAATTACGAGAATAAATCTTAATATTACGAGAATAAGGTCATAAAATTACACAAAAAAAGTCATAAAATTACGAGAGTAAAGTCCACAACCCGTTTCAGAAGGTACGACGGTATGAGTATTAGGGCCAGGTTAGAGATATTTTTGTTTTTTTATTTTGAGAATAAAGTCCTAAAATTATGAGAATAAAGTCGTAAAATTACAAGAATAAAGTCGTAACATTACGAGGATAAAGTCGTAAAATTACAATACTAAAATTGCAATAAGAATAGTAAAAAATTACGAGATTAAAGTCTTAAAATTGTGAGAATAAAGTTGTAAAATTACAAGAATAAAGTCTTAAAATTACGAAAATAAAGCTGTCAAATTACAAGAATAAAGTTGAAATTAAGAGATTAAAGTCCTAAAATTATGAGAAACAAGTTGTATTTTATGACAACTCTTACAAGAAGCACCTTCTTCCCTAAAATGAGGAATGTGGAGCATCATGTGAAGTTATACTTTGGCTCTGGTTTGACAAATAAGAACATCTTTTGGCAGCGGCATCAAACTGGGCAGAAGGTCAAAGTGGACTGATTGGTGGAGCTGGTCGGTCATCATCTGCTTTCTTTCTGAAACAGGTTGTTTCTCGTAATGTTACGACTTTATTCTCAAAATAAATGTAAAAAAATCTCTAACCTGACCCTAATACTTCATCGTATAAGCACACTTATTTCAAGAATTTATTTTATTTGTTGTGAGATCAGTTTTTGCAGTGAACTAAAAACAAACAATTAAGTTAGTTGTCGTGACGTTAAGATAAAAGAGAAAAGTACAGATTTGTTACATTTATTGAATTTATACATGTTCTAATTGATCTAGATTTAAAAGACGAAAGAGGCTGAGAATAAATCAAGAATATTTTAGTGTTCAATTACAAATTTTGGATTGAGCAGCTTAACTGAAGGGAATTATATCAACATGGATTAGAAATTCTTGGAACCCTGTTTGGAGCAGACTCACTGTTGCTCAGAGTTCCTTCCCTGCGTGATGACCCCAGTGAACTCCACCTCTCGGCGAGCGTCCACCTGAAACCAGTGGCCTTTCTCCTCAGGCTCTGCACACCATGCGCCTCCATACGTGTCTTCCTCCTTCTCAGAGCCCTGCAAACCCATAACAGTAAACTGATGAAGTGCTGGAAGCACCTCTGTGTTCCAATTATCGTTTGATTGGAGCACAGTATGGAGTGAATTTTGTTCCATTATTGTTACAGGATAAATGGAAATTTGCACAAAAAAAGAGCACATTTTCTAAATTGAAATTGCAATTCAAACATGAAACTTTTAATAAATATTAGAACAAAAAAAAAAGTTGCTGTTTTCTCTCTTTTTTTAAACATTTTTAATATTTATTTTTCATAATACATTTTTTAAAAATGTGTTTCTTCTTTATTTCTTTTGTTACATAGTAGCATCAACACACAAGACCAATACAATGTTATTATTGTTAGGAATCCAGTTTGTGTGGCCTGTTTGTGTGTCTCTGTTTTCCACCACCAGGAGGTGCCCTGTCTTCGCTGCCCCTCCCTGCACACCTGCAGCTTGTTGGATCATTATCTGGAGGAGTATTTGAGCAGTGGACTGTCACTACCTCAACACCAAAGTGTTTGCCAGTTTTGGGTACTCTAGCCAAGCTGAGTTTAGCAGAGTCTAATCTAGCTTTGTTTCTCTGAGTCTAACATGTGTTTGTCTTTGCTCCTCGGCAGGAAGCTTTCCTGTGTTACAGAATTCTTGGACCTTCTCTCCCCTGGAAGGATAAACCGAGTTACATGGAGCACGGGATAATCTCCATATGTTCCGTTCAAGTACCCATCGGAAATCTGAGTGAAAGTCTGCTCCTTTAATCCTCTGGGTCCAACGCTTGTCAACCTGTCCGCCCTCCAACGTGTGCATGTGCACCCTTCTCTGGATTTACCACACAGTCTGGATTCAAGGGTTAACGAGACCCTCCTCAAACATGAGTGCCCCACCTAGCAAGATCTCAGAGCTTCCAAGATTCCCACGGTACCTGAACTGACCATTGAACTTCCCTTCTCACTTCCAGTTCAGGGTCACCTGCTCTCTGAGTTCCAGATCCAACACCTACAATAAACCTGTTAAACTTTAGCCTTGTTCTCTGAGTGGTTATCGCTGCATGTGGGTCAGATTCGTAAACCAATCATGACAACTATATTGTTGGTGCTAACGTCCATGGAGACCAATAGAAATGTTTGTCTCTCATCACTGCAGAGGAAAGCCCAGCCCCCAGAAGTGAAGAGAATTTTATCTGTAAAGTGCAACTGAAAAAGAACATTATCTTGTAAAACTCAGTCTTAGAAATAAAAATAAAATCTGTAAAAACACATTTAAATAAGAATTTTTTTAATAAAAACAAAATTAAAAAGTTAATAGTATACAAAAAAATCATTATAGCATTTTCTAAATTTAATTTCTCGATTTCTTTATTTTTCCTTTTTTTACATTTGCATAAAAAAAAAAAAGAAAACATGTTCTTTGTTTGCGACAATAATGGAATAAAATTCACTCCATACATTGAACAACATGCTCCAATCAGCATGGCTGCTTTTGTGTTTGTATTTGTCACTTCACAGAGCATATGGAGCATTCACAGCCCTGTGTTTGGTGGGATGTATCACATGTTTGGATAATTTCCCTCTGCAGGCTTACCTGCATGTTAAGGCGTCCCCTCTGAGCCGAGAAGCCATGGTGGGACTGAGAGGAAGCCAGCAGTTGGTCGTCTTCCACCCGGTGAGACTCCAAACCCAAAGGAGGGCACTCTGACAGAACAACATGAACACTTAGCTCAGCTTTCTCAGACTGAAAACATTGAGTCACTGCAAAACGTGAAATGTGTGCATCTAACCAAGTTTAACACTTTTAGATGCAGACGTTTTTTGTTTTTTTTTTATCTTGCTTTGAGACTGATGCAGAAATCTTGCCAATCATAATTGTCTCATTGCACCAGAAGATCATTGCAATTATTTTATAGCTGAAATTTTCTCAAAAGAGGATTAGAAATCTATCAGAATCTGCTCGTGCTTAGTATATCAATAAAAAAACAAACACAAAAGACCCTTTTGTATGATCCAAGATTGTAGGACTTGGTTAGATGCAAACATTTTTTATAGTGTAAAATTAAATTAAGCAGTTTTGAAGCTCGGATGTTTGGAGGCAACAGAATATCTTACTTTTTGGCTCAGCAGGAAGACTTGCCTGCTTCAGTCTCTCTGCCTCTTCCTCCTCCCACTCTTTCCTCAGCCGCTCAGCTGTAGGGATTACAAAGCAAACAGCATCCTAACCGGCCACCAACCATCAGAAAGGATTTATCATTATAGGTCCATTCATCACCTTTTCCTTTCCACTAACACCTCTATGTGATCCTGTAAAGGTCACACCTTTGATTTTTAACTCCTTTTTTGGTAAATGGAAGATAATATCAGAAATACCTTTTTTGTTCCATAGGAGGGAAATTTGGGAACCTACAATATGCCAGTAGCGGAAAATTAACTGGAAGGAAAATGACTCATGGTTTTAAAAGTCTTAAACAAAAAGACGTAACTCTACCAGCTGCCGTCAGAAACAACTCAGTAATTAAAAGATTACTCTTTTTATGTAAATTAATCTCAGTATGGATTAACATTAGCCAAAAGCCTCCAAGATTTGTTATAATACAGTAAAGTAAAAAAGTCATAAGTAGCAAAAAAGTCATAAGTAGCAAAAACAGGAGACTAATCAGGGATAAGGCTGTGGAGAAGTTTAAATAACAATAATCAAAATAATAACCCTGGACCAGCTGAGGAAAAAGAAATCCTGAAGTGATCATTTATTTTATCACCTTTTCAAACTAAATAATGCTCAGTTATTTAGCATTTTTCGAGAGAGTAGGAGCCGCAGGTTCAACATCCCTGGTAGTACGGAGTGAGTTTTGTTCCATTATTGTTGCAAAAAAAAAAAAATGTTTTGGAAGTGGAAATAAAAAAAATGTAATCCAGAAAGTTTAAAAACCATCTTAATCAAAAAAGGTTTTGGGAGCAACTTTGCTGTTTTCCCAGATTTATTTTTCAGGTTATCTTTTTTATTATATTTTTCTTCAAATTTCTGTTAATTAGATTTTTTTCAAATTACTTTTTACAGACTTCAGCCCCTTCACTCTGGTGCAGGCTTCTATTGGTCTCCATGGAAATTAGGAACCACATTTTTATTGGTCAAGATTGAAGCAAAATGTATTCACAGTTTCATATGTGGATTGCAAACTTTTTTTTCCCGCTCCAACAATAATGGAACAAAATTCACTCCATAGATTTTCTTGCGTACATTTTTAAAGTTAAATAGGAACCGTATATCCAGTCAAGAACCTTTTTCTGCCTTTTCCTTTCGTGCTCTCTCCTCCTCCTCTTCTTGTTTCTTTGCCAGCTCACTTGCCACTGTGAAAACAGAGAGATCCCGTCATCCACAGCAGTCAGAACATGGATCTGTATGCATTTAATTTTTTCCTAATTCTGGGTTGGATAAAGACGTACAGTCAGTGTAATCATATTCTTCATACCAGGGAACAACAAATGGGACAGACGTGGTTTCCTCTGTGACAAAAGAAAACAACACAAAATGCACTGAGTGAAACTTAAGATCAATATGAAAAAAATCCCCAAAACACATAAACAAAATAATTCCTGCTAAACTACAGTAACATCTGGTGAATTAGGAAATGTTTTGTTATTTTCCTTCTCTGTCAGATTAAAAGCAGCAATATATTTTTCATTTATTGTTTCATTGACATAATAATATATTATATCATGTCTTCATATATGCAGGCAGAAAGTCATCATACCAACGGTAATAAAGCCTTGAAAATATCAATCTGTATTTAACCCAGTTGGTTGACCACTTATACTGCCTGGTCAACTAAATAGAGGTTGATCAGGCAGTTAAAGGGTTAATTAGTCCATATAATACGAATTACAGAAATACATTTATTATGATAATATATGTTATAAAGTTTTTATAGTATGTTAATGCATTTAAGGGTTCTGTTCTCTGTGGTATATATATTTTTTATTTGGGTGGGATTTCCAAACAGGATCTAAGCTGAGTTTTTGCACCCGGTCTGTAAACCTTATAATAACACATGAAAACAAAATCCACCCTGAAATGTTTCCAGTAAAATCAGCAGGGTTTAAAAAGAAAAACAACTAAAATGAACAATAATTATGATGGGTACCTGGTATGTACATGACTTCAGTGGTTGTGGCTTCCTTCTTGGCATTATGTCCAAAAAACTTATCTGTAGAGATCACATCATATAGCAGAAAGATGTTTGGTAACAAAGTCTGAACAATAAAAAAACAAAAAAACAAATAGAATTAATCTCCAAAAAGGGGACCTATTTGGATAATAGAGCAAACAGACTCAAATTTAATTAATAAATCTAATTTCAACAGTTATGAAAAAAAAAAATGAAGTAATGTCTACAAAATTTTAAACATCTCAATACAGAAAGGACTCACGATGGGATCTAACAAATGGGATCAATTCAATGGGATCTAACCATTGGGATCAGACCAATGGGATCAAACCAATGGGATCTAACCAATTTGTTCTAACCAATTGGTTCTAACCAATTGGATCTAACCAATGGGATCTTACCAATGAGATCTAACCAGTGGGATCAAACCAATGGGATCTAACCAATGGGATCTAATCAATGGGATCTAAACAATGAGATCTAACTAATGGGATCTAACAAAAGGGATCTAACCAATGGGATCTAACAAATGGGATCTAACCAATGGGATCTAACCAATGGGATCAACCAATGGGATCTAACAAACGGGATCTAACCAATGGGATCTAACCAATGGGATCAACCAATGGGATCCAACCAATGGGATCCAACCAATGGGATCTAACCAATGGGATCAACCAATGGGATCTAACAAACGGGATCTAACCAATGGGATCTAACAAATGGGATCTAACCAATGGGATCTAAACAATGGGATCAACCAATGGGATCCAACCAATGGGATCAACCAATGGGATCTAACCAATGGGATCTAACCAATGGGATCTAACCAATGGGATCTAATCCATTGGATCAACCAATGGGATCTAATCAATGGGATCTAATCAATTGGATCAACCAATGGGATCTAATCAATTGGATCAACCAATGGGATCTAATCAATGGGATCTAATCAATTGGATCAACCAATGGGATCTAATCAATGGGATCAACCAATGGGATCAACCAATGGGATCTAACCAATGGGATCTAATCAATGGGATCTAATCAATTGGATCAACCAATGGGATCTAAGCAATGGGATCAACCCATGGGATCTAACCAATCTGATCTAACCAATGGGATCTAACCAATGGGATTACTATACTAAACAATGCACTGTTTCTCTTCTTTTTGTCTGCGTGTTGCTTGTTTTATGTGGCCCCAATAAAAAAGCACTAACACACATGTAATGCTTTCAAAAACCAGCTTTGATTTCCCTCATCACCTCTGGAAGGTGAACATAACTTAATGGGCAACAACATTCCAGCTTTGAAAGCTGCGTTAAATCATTTTCCACCACAAACCCCGAAAATTAAACACACTAGATGTTAGCAGCTGGTGGCTGCTAACATCTAGTGTGTTTAATTCTAACTAATAAACCAGTTCACACAGTGAACTGGTTTATTAGTTAGAATGGTCTTTGATGTGCTTAGAGGATGCACCTCCATGCTAATTTAAATCATCAGCGCTCCAACCACAGATTGCTCTAGGGAGAGCAGACAGAACGGACAAAGACTTCTGGAAAGACGTCAAAACGTCTTCAGAAAAACTGAGAAAAAGTCTGACTGCCTCTGATTTAAGCCTGCTTTCACAGGTTCTTACTTAATGACAAGTTATGATAAGAAATACATTTTTCATCCCCTTTCTTTTGTTTTTCCTTCTTTTTTCTTTCTTTTTTCTTTTTTTCTTTTTTCCCTTTTTTCTTTCTTTTCTTGTATTTCTTTTTTACACATCTTGTACTATGTCAACTTCAAGTTACAAGTGTCATAAGTTACTGAATGACAAAGGAGTAAGTGATCAACATTCTGCATGTCAATGACAGTGTTTTCAAACACCCTTTTAAATAAAGCTTTCTCTGTAAAAAAAAAAAACTTCACACAATCACTTTAAGAGCACTGATTACAATATTATAATAAAGTCCACCCTCAGCATAAATAGAGATACCGGCTGAAAACAATAAACTCATCTTATATATAATCAAAACTATTTTAACAACCATCCAGAAAGTCACATTTTATTATAATATCCTAAACAATTAAGATATTTTCAATGTTGACAGCAGATCTTTTTTATTAAATCAAATTTAAAAGAAAAAAAAAACATGAATGCCTTTATAACTTAGTGATAGTTTAAAACTGTGTTTTGATGCACTATAACATCAGACTTTCCCATCTTTAAGCTCAGGTCAGATTAACAGATTTATATCTATTTGCTAAATGCCAGAAAAGACTGTTGTCTTCAGCTATTTCTTATGTTTTTTTTTATGCTAATTCAGAAATGTATGCATATAGCTTCAGTAGGAACTTTGACATAAATTTAGAAAAACTTTCTTGCTCTTCTTGTAGGTTAGTAAATAAAAAAGACTTTCATATTCTGTTGCTTTTCTGCCTTTTAGAGCCACATGATTGTTTCAGTTAAAGAATACAATGCAGACTCGATGCAGATTGATTGTTTTACAGGAAATGTGGAAACAGAAGTCCAGTTTCCTCCATTAGTCACTGTTTATTTGTTTTCTTGTTAAATCACGACAATTACAGCTCTTTTTCATTTCCCATGAGTTTCTATGATTTTCTTTCCGACTCTCTGAGGGTTTTAGGAGAAGACGATGGCTGAATTTATGCTGTAGAGGTTATTTGAGGTTTATGTTTTTTGGAGTCTTGAAATTGAATGCACAATGTTTTTACTTTCTTTACTAAACAGGAAACGGGACTTCTGAATATTTGGAACATCTGGTGGAAAAAACGAGAGCAGAGCTATGAAAGCAAAAGCTTCAGTTGCTCAGAATTGCAGAAAAAATGCTTTTTGTGGTTGCATATATTTTTGTCTGTCTCCTTATGTTTGTTATTTTTGTGTTTTATGTTTTGTTTTGGCTTGGTTTGTCATTAAATAAAGCCCTACTGGTTTATTTACAATAACATGGGAGTTACATCCTGCCCATGTGGGCGGGGAGTAAACAAGGAAGTAGCCTATTGTGGCTAAAGCAAATTTGCACCTACAGTGAAGTGTGGAAATAATGCAGAAAAGTCCAAAATCCAGTGTGAAAAAATGCTGAAAAAATAAAGTCCTAGAGGAATCAGACGTGAACAGAGCTGGGAAAACAGTCTGAACGTTGGTGTTCACTGAACAGGAAGCTAAAACTGCCGAGGCGTTCAGATGTAGTTTATAACTCAGAGTCAGACATACTTTAATAATCCCAGAGGGAAATTACTTTTGTTACACACTCCAGATATACATATATATATATATATATATATATATATATATATATATATATATATATATATATATATATATATATATATATATATATATATATGCACTCACTGGCCACTTTATTAGGTACCCCATGCTAGTAATGGGTTGGACCCCCTTTTGCCTTCAGAACTGCCTCAATTCTTGGTGGCATAGATTCAACAAGGTGCTGGAAGCATTCATCAGGGAGTTTGGTCCATATTGACATGATGGCATCACACAGTTGCCGCAGATTTGTCGGCCGCACATCCATGATGCGAATCTCCCGTTCCACCACATCCCAAAGATGCTCTATTGGATTGAGATCTGGTGACTGTGGAGGCCATTTGAGTACAGTGAACTCATTGTCATGTTCAAGAAACCAGTCTGAGATGATTCCAGCTTTATGACATGGTGCATTATCCTGCTGAAAGTAGCCATCAGAAGTTGGGTACATTGTGGTCATAAAGGGATGGACATGGTCATCAACAATACTCAGGTAGGCTGTGGCGTTGCAACGATGCTCAATTGGTACCAAGGGGCCCAAAGAGTGCCAAGAAAATATTCCCCACACCATGACACCACCACCACCAGCCTGAACCGTTGATACAAGGCAGGATGGATCCAAACCAGAACAAACCAGTTTGTTCTTAAAAAAATCATTAAGTTGAATATTGTTCCACCTATATAGAGGGAATTCTGTTCCATTATTGTTGCAAAGAAAATGTTTTGTAAATGGAAATCCAGAAATGAAACTTTTAATAAGAATGAGAGTAACTTTGCTGTTTTTTTCAGTTATTTTTTAAATTTCAATTTCTCGTTTCTTTTTTTTTTTTTTATTTAAGCAAAGGATATCTTTTTATATTTCGGTGTTTCAGATTGAGTTTTAGGAATTCCCTTCTTTTTAAAGTGCGTTTCAGAAATCACAATGTCAAGCCCAATACAAATGCTTTAGCTTGACAAAATATTGACCAATAAAAGAGAACAGAATTGGCAAAATACAATTTTAAAAAAGCGCAACTCATAAAACCTAAGTTTGGAAAACTAATTTCAATTTGAAAAATAAAAAAAAAATTATTCTGTAAAAAATTTGGGGAGAAAATATATTTGAACAAAATAAAACATGAAAAATAAATCTGAAAAAAGAAAATGTGAGGAAACAGCAAAGTTACCCTCCTAACATTTATAAATTTCATAGATTGAGATTTATTGATTGCATTTTTACAAATGTCCATTTGCACTTTGCTGGCAACAATAATGGAACAAAATTCACTCCATACTCGCTCCTGAAACCATAAATCTACGTGAACTCACTTGAACCCAGGCCCACTTCCTCTTCCTCCTTCTCCTCCAGAGGAGGGAGCGTCTCTGGCGGCACCGTGGTCACTGTCAGCTTTGGTTTCTTGGTGGGTTTGGGCACCTTTGGCTTCTTCGTGGACTTTGGTGGCTTTGGTTTCTTGGTTGGCTTTGGGGTTTTAGGTTTCTTGGTGGGCTCTGGACCTTTCTGCTTCTTCGCTTTAGCCTCTCGCTCTGCCGCCTTCTTTGCTTTGGCTTCAGGGTAGATAGGAAGATAATCCGTTAATTGAAACCAGAATGAAGCATGAAAAATATGCCCACACAAAGCAGCTGTGTAACTTCTGTAAATATGTTTCCTTTTGTGTTATATGAGCATAAAAGGCTTTATTCCCAGCAAGTTTTCTTTATTAAAATCATCAATCTACATTAAAGAAAACATTTACAAACAACTATTGCACCGCATACATAGAGAGCAGCCGGTGTGGAAGCAGCGCACCATGCTGGATCCTGACAGAGAGGATCCAGTGCAATTTAAAATTTGTTTCAGTTAGTCATGCGTATAATTAAAAACAGAGTGATGTTTGCTTAGTAGAGAGGTAGAGTGGAGGTAGAGTGTTGACAGCCCAAAAAAAGGAAAATTTCAGTATGGACAGACGTTTCTCCTCGGCTCTACCGCTTTCATACTTCATCCAAAATAGTTCGGTTATCCTGAGCTATTTGCTGTATTTGTGCTGCTATATGTTTAGGCTGCTGGATCACAATGGGACCACTTTCCCTCATTCTGGTTCATTCTATCTCTTTTGTCCCATTCTGCAGTATTTGTCAAGTTCCACCCATCACTTTATGCTCTCTCAGTTTTTTCTTCATATTTTCTTCATCCTATCCTGGGGAGTTTTGGCCTAATGGTTAGGGCATAAAACTTGGAATCCTTGGACGCATGGCCCAACACAGAAGAGTTACCTCCTCCAGACAAGACATCTACACCTTATGGACAAAGGACATTCTTTTGAGGACCAGAATGTTCACATTTTGGATAAAGAAAATAGATGAGGGGTGTGAAGGATAAACCAACGGGGAGTTTTTCCTCTCCACTGTCACTACATGCATGCTTGGTGTGAGGGGTTGCTGAAGAGTCAGTGACAAAATGCAATCTACTGTCTCTACATGCTCATCCAGGAGGAACAAATGTTACAAAAAAAATGACTGTATGCAATCAACTGGTTTTCCTCACCAATCTGACAGTATTGTCTCTGTAAGGTGCCTTGAGATGACATGTGTTGTGAATCGGTGCTATATAAATAAACTGAATTGAATTAAATTCATTAGAGTTGAACAGCTTAGAGTATTTTTTTTCTCTTCTCATTGAATAGTTAAAGTTTTGTCCAATAATATCTTAGAACTAAACCTTGCAGACAGGAAACCTTGAAAAACTTAAAAAAGAAAGCGTAAATGAGTTGCACCTGTTTTATACACACAAATGTTACCTTTTTTATTTATAAAAATGTTAAATAATGAAATTCTTGATCAAACCAGCTCTGGTCTCTGCTATGTTAAATCTCTTGTATTGCCTTTTTGTTTATTACGTTTCTCATAATCTTTTCCTAATAGATAAATTCATAATTTTAGTTCCAATGAAAAGAACTGCTCTCTTTGTGGTTTCTTATCTCGTCCTGTTGCCATGCTGGATCCATTAATCAGGGCTTCTATTATGCAACATGTTAGCCCTAAACTCACCCTGAATTAACTCAGTCGAGTTTGCTGATTGATCACCTGTTCTAAAACCAAAAAATCCTGCATAACGCATCGCTCAGCTCTCCTTCTGTTAGATTCTAACTACTTTTTCTCTTTTCTCTGTTTATTGTTGCATAAAGTGGCATTATTTACATGAAGTGGGGAGGATAAGTTTGGCTATCTTCTTCCCTCCCTGCAATAGTTTACTCCTATGTGCTATTTTCTCTTATTTAAACATGTGTTTAATGTATACAGGGGTGAATTTAGGAAATTTGGGGCCCTAGGCAAAGATAGAAGAGGACCCTTTGAATTGAGAAGGCAACACATAAAACAGACCTATTATACAGATACAGAAATGTTAATAGAATAGACATAACATTATTTGTTCTATGTTTTGTCCCTCTCTTCTTGTCCCTTTTCTAGTTGTTTTCCTCTCTATGTTTTGTACTCAGCCGACTTTTAATGCTGTCTCACATGAATTTATAGATTTTTTTCCAACCACTAAGATCATTCTAACTTAGCTGATTTTTCCTTCCTGTGTTTCCAAAAAGGCGACGGCAAAAGTAAATAACCTACTCCTTCTTTTCACTGTAGACAAGCCATGATCTGCTTATCTGTTCTCCATTATTCATTTGGATGAAATAATAGCTGAATGAATCATGACAGCAGACAAGATGGAGGACAGCAGGAGGCGGGGTTACCAATCTACTTGCTCTGGAGAGCAGAGTTCGCTGCTTTTAGATGTTGTAGCCAAAGTTTCCAGTAACAGGAAGGTGCCTTTTTGTAATGCAATCATGAGAGGGGTCTGGAAAGTCAATAAATATAGCAACAAAAGTGTTTGCAAAACTGCTGTTTGTTTTCAAACAGTTTGCTGCTGTCTGTTTGGACCTTTCTGCACATGCATAGAAAATGGACTGATCCAATATGGTGGACACTGAAAGGGCCCCCCCTGAGACACACTTAATATATAAGGATTCTGATGGCATTTTAAGGAAAGTATTTTTATCAAAAACATAATTATTGTGCACAAATAAGTAATAGCTGTATTAACCATACACGTAAAAGGAGTTTTATGGGGCCCTCAGGAACGTGGGATGGATGTATATAAAGTGTTTAGCATATTACGGTAATCCCTTTTGGAGTTGCTGATGACTTTTGGACATTATTTTTCTGTCGCAACATTAAAGGGCTCATCCCTATTAAAGACACATCATCTATTTGGAGATTTATTATGCTTTGAAAGTCTAAAATTATGCGCCTCGTTGCAGATTGTAGGTTTGATTTGTAGGTTTAAGCCGACAAAAGAGAACCATCTAATTTGTTTAATGTTTGTTTAAAACAGCCTCCAGGTGGGCAGGAAAAGTCTGGAAGGTGGGTAGAAATTGCTGCTCTGTCAGAATATGGAGTCCTGTGACGGAAGGCAACATTCCCCACTTAAAAGGTTCAATACAACAAAACCACAGAAACACAGAAATACTACAAGGTATTAAAGAAACTCAAAATCATCGACTCATCTGATGGACAGATATTTGTGGATTATATAACCTAAATGCAATTATTTATTTATTTGTTGAAATGATTGATGCTTTATATCTTTAGATATCCTCGATTATTCCTATTTTAATTTGTGTTACTCTTTATTAGTTTATAGAAGAAGGGATGCATTTGGTGGTTGTTAAAACTATTTCCATTAAAAATTTGTACCTGCAGCATAAAAACAACATAAAACAAGGGGCCTCATTTGGTCTGTAGTAAATTCCTGCATAACCTGGCTGACTGTGACCATTACATAACAGTGCTCAGAACAATCCTAATTTTTTCCCCCACTCATTAGTAGTGTTGTGCCAATGCCATTTTTGGGCCCCGATACCGATACCCGATACCTGGCTGTGCAGTATTGGCCGATACCGATACCATCTGTTCGAAATTGATGTGTGTGTATATATGAAGTACTAAATACTACTTGGATGTAAAATAATTGCCATCATGGCTTTGTCAAGCTGCTGCCTACCTTTGTGAAGCAGGAAAAAGACTACCGGTAATACAAAGCGAATCCAGTAGAACTTCACCAATACCAGTATGGGGTACTCATTAGCTAAGATCTGCACAATAAAGTGTTGAAAATGGCGTCTCTTTTTCTTTAAGAACTTGTTGATTTTGGAGCCTTTTGTTAGAAGTATATTAAAGGATTTATCTCTTTGAATATCTTTTAAAATTATGCATTAATTAAATCATCAGATTTTAATATTTTGGCAAGTACTGAATTAGATTAATGTGGAGCATTTTCATTTTTCTATTGTGTTTACAGCTTGAAGTTGGCCTGTTTTGCATTAATTGCTCCCTGATATATCGTATCTGGACACATATACAGTGCAAACAAAAAAATTATGGAGCGCAGAATGTATTAATTTAGCAAAAAATATTTTCATTGCAAATGTCTATTATTGATAGGCTTTCTTTAAATGTTGCTCAATTTCTCTTTTATTTAGATGCAAACGCTTGATAACAAATCTAAACATGTTTCTAAATAATAAATCTATATTTATGATTTCTACATCTTTTATCTATATATGAAAGTTATTCATTTTTTATTCTCAATGTATATCTAAATCATACATCTGATAAAATGTAATGCATTTATATATCATAAATCTGAATCTAAATATAGATCTAATGTGTTTGTCACCATCCTTTACCATGAATATGTTGTTATATATACATGTTTTATTTATCTGGATATTTCTTTTAAGTTGTTGTTTCAAAAATATTTACTTGATTTCTTTTTTTAAATCTTGGTGTGTGCAACTAAAATACATTGTCATTTTAATTTTCCCTTCACCCATTAACAGAATGACCATAAATGCCTGAAAAAGCATTAAAATCAGCTAGTGTTCTTTAAACCTTTGGAGCAGACTTCCCCAAAGTCAGTCCTTGAGGGCCTCTGTCCTGCAGGTTTTAGAGGTTTCCCTGCTGCAGCACAGCTGATTTACCTTGATAGCCGATTAACAGGCTTTTGCTGAACTGCAATCATCAGAATCAGCCAAAGCAGAGAAACCTCTAAAACCTGCAGGACAGAGTCCCTCGAGGACTGGGGAGGCTGCAAATCTGGAAGCACTGCAAACATCCCCCAGATGAGAGATGATTCTTAAGAAAACATGTTAAGAAGAATTTCTCTCTCAAGGCTTATATCTTACAAATCTTATAGTGTCTTATTTGCTTTTTTATTTTTTCATGCAACCCTAAAATATATCATAATGATTACTGTTCAGAATTCTGCATTTCCGCAGCATGTAAGAGGATTCCCATTAAAAAGATGTTTAAGAACTTTTGTAGCAAAGAACCTCATCCTGTTTCCACACTAATTCTTTCCATCTTGATGCTTACTTCATGTCCATCAGCAGATTACCGCCTACTCCACCTCAGTAATCACTATGCAGCCTTCAGTTTCCTGCTTTACTTTTATAGAAGGGCGGAAATGGGTTCCATGATTAAAGTGATTTTTTTAAGATGAGTGAGATTTTGTC